AGCTGTTCTTGGTGGTGGCAATCAGGAAACACCTCTTTATCATTCCAACCAAGTCAACCATCTGTACGCACTATTCCTGCCATGTAGTAATATCACGCCGGTGTGGACAGCAAGTTGGTGGCTGAGTACAGTTCTTAACTTGAGTTAACTGTATAAAAGAGTTACAGTTACATTTAACATGTTAATTGTCATGTAGTAACTATACGATAGATTTTTTAGAGTACCAACACCAACATTAAACCAGTTATTATGTTAGCCAATCCTTATGGATTATGTCCCAATGCAAACCATATTTTATATTATGTGTTTTTGAAATTAATTAAGGAATGTTTTGGCTTAATTTTTTCCTTGATTCATTTCTAAACTACATACTATAATAGGTTTGAATAATTTTTTTAACGATTTTAGTTTATTATTATTATTAAAAGTTAATTTTATAACATAACTTTCAGATTATATCATCATACCTCAACATGCCTTCCTATTTATCCACGAGAAATGGATGTAGATAGTGAAGATGAAAGTGATCCTATATGGTTGAGGAAAAAGACTGCAATGATGATTGATGAATTTACGGATGTTAATGATGGTGAAAAAGAACTGATGAAGATGTGGAATTTGCATGTTATGAGAGAGGGGTATGGGTGAATACAAACAATATAGTATTATATTTACTATTTAGTAAATGTATTTACTTTTAATTTATTATAATAATTAGTCTAATTATTAAAATTTTACTTTCAGATTTGTTGGTGATTGTCAAATATCATTAGCTTTAAGTATGTTTGTTGAATCTAAGGGTAGATATATACTTAGGAACAATTTATATAGGAATTTTATGTTACATCTTTGCAACTTGTGTGATTTACGTCTTATAAGTCCAGTGACCTTTTATACAACCATACAAAAATTACAAGATATTTTAGCACTTGATTCAGAAGCTAGCAATGTATTATATGAATCTTTTGAAGCTCAGCGAAAATATTGGCGTGAGGAAGGTGCTAAAAAGGCAGAAGATCGTACTGAAATAAGGTGTTTGGTACAAAGTCCATTACAGTCAGATATTGGTACTAGACGTAAGCCTGCTGGATCATTTTACCCGTTAAAACTCCAAGATAAATTAAAAGGAAAAGTAATTAAACAACAAAATGGTCGTAAAGGAGGAAATTCTACAAGACAAAATCCTCCTGCCACTAAAAATGCAAACATTGTTGAGGAAAAGAAACTTGATAAAAAAAGTGACAAAAAGGGAGGGTCTACAACTAGATCTCAATCTGCTGTGCGAACTGATAAGTCAGAAAAACCAGTAGAAAAACGTAATAGCACTTCTTTAAATGGTGAAGATCATAAAATATCTGCAACTCTCACAGTGCGACGTAGGACTTTCCCTATATTGACTGATAAAAAAAAACCAGTTCCTGAAAAATTGCCGACAAATGTGTCTGAATCTGTAAGACGAAAGTAAATAGGTAATTATTGTTGTGATAATTTTGACTATTGTTGTAAAGTTAAACAAATTTCCCAATATTTCTAAAATGAGTTATTCACTACTGTCATAAATATTCTGTAAGTTTAGATACGAAGAGAACTTTAAGATGTTCTTATTTTTGTGAGCATAAAGTTTGGTTTTATTATTTTTAATCTTTGTACAGTGGATAGAAAAATCTAGGGATTGGGTCTTATAATTAAGATTGTTAAATCATTTTGATACTAGTTACACCAAAAATGCTTTAAAATATGTTCCATACATTAAAAAAATTCTTAAAATATGTTATTATTACTTAGAAATTATAAACATCATATTATAATGTATTTAAATTAATAGAATTTTAGATGTTATTTACTATATTAGGAATAATTTGTATAGTATTATATGCCATATAATTGTAATACTTCGGTTAGTATTCATATGTGTGTATTATTTTTTTCCAACCAATTATAATCAAACAATGAATGCTAAATGAGATATTTTTAAATGATTTATAAATAATATATATAGTTTTGTCACAATTTTTTTCCTCACAAGTTATCATGTAATACTGAATTATTTACTGTTCATAGTTATGTGTTTTTAATTTATTTTGAGAATATACTTGATTACGATCAATAATACTATAAAACTTAGGGATTTGATGTACGACTATAAAACAAATACAAATAAACTAATTTTAATACATTTTTTGGGGGGTTATGTGGATAATGTATATTTTTAAATTTTCTTGAAACTGCTGTTGTATAAACATTTAATATTGTAGCTTCCAAAACAGGGTTATTGTTCCACTGTGCATTGATTAAATAATAAATAATGTTCATATTTTTAATAATTGGAGTAATTTTTATTTAAATATTATAAACTACAACAATAATTTTAATATTAAATTATAGACCATTCAAATTAAAATAGGCTTTTTAATATTTGTTTTAATCTATTTTTGAGTATAGTATTCTTTGGTTATGTGTTATAATGTGCAATATATCATAATAGTATTTGCATACAATCACTCATTTAAAATTAAAAACAATCTATAAAATATGTTATTGTTTCAATATCATAGAACTAGTATTAGCCCTCTGTATAATGTGTATAACTGCAGATTGTAGCTACTGGCTTTACAGTCTTAGATAATTATGTATACCTACTTACTTTTATTATTTTAAAGATTTTTTTATATATTAAGATTGCAACTGTTGGAAATGTTTATCCTAATAATTATTAACTAAACATTAGATATTAATCTATACATTTAAAATTGTATGTAATGGTTTAGTTATTTATATGATTTAATGTTATAATTATCCACTAAAGTAATTGATTTTATATATAAACATATTTGAAATTAACTAAGTAGTTTTATCTTCGTTAAGTCAATGTTGTCTTACTTTAATTTCTAACTCTAAATATAAAAGACTTGTATGCATAAACATTTTATTTAATGATCAATGAAATAAATAATTAAGCCTACAAATATTGTACACAAGTATAATTGATATATTTCACATTGGGTTTGATTTAAAAACATTACATTTTAGTTTTGGGTATATTCACATAATATTTATACAGGGTTTTTTTTTCATAAGATTATACTCACCTAATTATTTATTCTTTTATATTTTATCTATGGCTATGATTTAATTAAAAACAATTATTAACTTTTTGTAAATGAAATTATTTCTAATAAATCAAAATTTAACCATTTTTTTTTAATAATCAAAAAGTACTCTTTTACAAAACTCCATTATTATTTGAATAATATTGCACTCTAAACATGATTAATAAATGTGTAACATTAAATATCATTAGACCTTTAAGTTGGACTGAAGGTATCTTACAATTTAGAATAAAATAAAATAATGTTGTGGCCAAAACGGTGTTAATGTTTTTTTAAGAAAATGTTTAATACCATATTATGACATTCTGTGGCAGATTAGAATACAATTTATGATACTCGTATTTAAAAACAATGAAACTTAACAATACATTTTTAGAATATAAAAAATATTAAGTATTTGTGTGAAAGAATTTTTCAAACTCTTTAATTTTAAAGTTGGGATTTATTTATTAAAACTAAATAATAAGAGTTCTCAAACTAATTGATTTATAATTAATATTTAGCAATCTATTTTCAAAAAATACTAGTAATTTGTTTTCATTTTCACTGCCTTTAGTTCACTGCCTTAGTATCTAAATAATGGTAGGCATTTAATTATTATTTATTTTAATATTTATAGACAAAAAAAACAGCTAAAAGTATATATATATTTTTTTTATGTTATAATATGTAATGTATATATTATATTATTATTATATTAGAAATTAAATGTATTGACTGTAATAGAACTTCTATCATTCTTACAATAATTTATTGTAATACATTTTATTCAATCTTAATAGTATGTACAAATATAATATCAATAATTGTAATTTATATTATTTTATTAAAAATATTATGTCCATATTATTGTATGCGCCGCCTTTCACATTATGTTATGAAAATTAAATTGTTTAAAAAATAGGTATGCAAAATAGAACTTATTGAAAAAGTTTTATGATTTAGTGGCAGTAAAACACAAATTATATTATATAGTGTATTTTATGTAAATACACACAAATTTAACAATTTTTCTTTGAAGGTTGCAATGCATTTTTGTTCCATTTTTATAATTATTATTAGTCATACATCATATTATACAATGTTCTTGTTTCCTTCACACCGCTTAAAACAAAACTGGCTTAGATACCTCCTAAACTAATAGTAGAAAAAATATATACCTAAATGATGAGTTCTAATTAAGTGGTGTCATTCAAGCATAAAATGTCTATTTGTTCTCGGTCATAACTTTTACATGGTTACTTTTTCCACATTGGCAATTATTTTGTGATATAGTCATGAAAGAATTTACCAAATGTTAAAATAATTATGAAGTAATATAAATTTAAAAATTAAAAATAGTTATAATTATTTTCACCCAGTTTTTAAATTTACATAATATTAAAGAGTTTTTTGATGTTCATTGATTACTTGTGCATAAAAAACATATTTTTCTCATTTTTAGAATATAGGAAAAATATTTTTAATTTTTAGAATCTGAACTCTACTCATACATATCTAATGGAGAAGAACTTGGACAACAAATTCCTCTTTTGCTATACTGACTGCTGATACATATTTCATCACTTGTAAAGAAATTGACTGCACATTTTTATATTTTTTCATATAGTAGGCATATTTTTATTCTATGATTAATTTACCTATATTGTATTAATACACAATTTAAAATGAATTCAATCAATAGTAATTTTATAACATATTTAATGCAAAGAGGTACTATGTAAATTATATTTTACAAATTAGGCCATTAAGGTTGACTGTGTATTAAAATTTAACTAAAAACAATTTATGGTTCAAATAAATTCATTGTTATTAATTACTTAATATACATAGGTAATCAGGAATAATTAGTGCAAACAATAGGCACATTGTTACAATACAATATTTAAACTAATATAATAGAATTTCGGTTTGCACTAAATGATTAATAACTTCAGAGTTGATTTGGAATGGTACACGACCTGTGAATGATGTAATGGCTTTTGCCTTTTCCCTGATGTATTCCAGCTGAGCATGCATTTGTTCTGGATCCCTGGCTGACTTGTTTGATTCTTTTTTAATGTCTCTATATTGTGAATATAACATGTTCATTGTGGCCGTCATCACTCCAGGTATAATTCTCAATATTAATTCATTGTATTTCTTAAATGAGCTAAGCCGTTCTTCTACATCATTTATAGATAATGGTATCAAACCTATTGTCTGGATCACATCAAAAGCTAATGTGTATTTATGATTGTTGTACTGTTCGAAAAATACAATAACACTCCTCAACATGTTAAATGTGAAAATGGCTTCCTCGGACACATTAGCTTCGACTCCTGTCAACCGCTGACTTAAAACTTGAGCATAGTCAATCACTTTATTTTTCATGTTAGGAGTTTTATCTAATGAAGAGAAGACATCTGGTTGAATGACCCGACTCAGCATAACATTGGCAAGTTGGAGTACCTTATCGTACTGACCTACCAATTCATACAATTTAGCTGACACCTCAAGATCACACTTTTGTTCTGCGAGTGTAGCTGTAGTTCGGATAATATCCATTTTCAGTGTTTCTGATACAATCAAAGAGTCCAATATACCGTTTTGCTTTTTACCTTCCGGCTTCAGGTATCCAAACACTTTGTCGTATTCATCTGTTTCAATTACAAGATTAGCTACATAGGAAATGAAAAGTGTTGTACCTTCAAATTCAGTGTGTCTTAGGCAATAGTAATAGTTGATGGCCATTTTAAGGTCTTGATTTTCAAATTTGGCACAGTACATTTTCATCATTCGTGCTATATTTAATCTATCTATTTGATTATTGTCTTTAGATAAAATTGGCTGATTAAAGTCACTAGGTAAGTACAGCAACCCCATTTCATTTAAAACTATAGATACGTGTATGGCATGACAACAAAGTTTTGGGTGACGGAAAATAAAATGAATAGCCGATTCAAATTGACCAGTTAAGAAAAGCAATTGGAAATAAGACATAGGCTGGACATCGCTGAATTGGTCTTTGTACTCATCATAGATCATCAACTGGAGTTCAGGATATGTGAGCTTGTCCTGGTCATTTCTAACTTGACAAAGTTTTAACCATAGATAATCATCTGCAGTCTTGATCACATCTGAATGTTTACTCGACACATCAATAGCAGAGACTAAAGAATAAATCACTTTTTTAAATGGATCGTTGGAGTCCCATGCCATTGATGTAGTAAATCCCTGATCGTTTAAGTTGATATAATTATGGTTATTTTTTATGTTTGTAAAAGCATTTAGCAATAGTGGATCCTGATTATTTTTTTCTAAAATGCGTACAACAGATTCTAAATCACCACAGCGAATTAAATAGTATGCCAATGGCCAAAATGGAACACCGTCATGAAATAGCTTATCAGGGTTATTGTACTGATTGATGTAGACACTAACAAAACTTCGCACGAGTGGATAAGTGCCCGGGATACCGCCAAGCTTTGCTTTGGACATGTGGCTCTTCACATAGCCTTTCATAAACACAATATACCTCTGTTCAAGATAAGTCCTGGCATTTGCAATCATTGTGTTTTGGTTGATTGCAGAACTCCTGGCGTACTTGGAACCATATTCGGGTACGATCTGACTCATGCATTTAACTATCTTCCACATTTCGTTCACACGGTCATCGTGAGCGATTTCTGCCGCTGTCGTGAAAGACTGCAAAATGTCGGTTTGAACCCCATCGTATTCTATGTGCTGATTGTATTCACACAAATATTTGGCATAAGTGAGTTCGGTCTGGTCTAGCTGGGCGCTCAGACCGAAGTTGGTGGTATTGAGCTTGGCAACAGATGGCATCACACTGGAACCGGGGCTTGATGATGGGTTTGGCACGTAGCCAGGGAACGAGTTGATGATATTGATCTTCTTGTTCCTCCAGCCTTTGGTGGTAGCCTCACTCTGCCGCCTCTCAATGAAGTCCTCGTTGCTCTTCTTTACCGACTCAATCAGGCTAAGTATGGCGTTTTGCACCTCGTTCTTCACAAAACTATCCACGTCCATGTCTGGCTTCGGGTCCAGGGTATCCATCGAGCCCACGGAGCTGAGCTTTTCCAACTGCTTGGGCACCTGCGGGGCGTCCACGCCACGGCTGCACAGAAATACATTACCCTTGGCCTCTACGCCTGGCACGCCGACTTTGGTCCACAGATTTTCGGCAGCGTCCAACAGTTGTCGGATGTTTCGGGTGACACTCGGCATACCCGTGTCGGTGATGGCGTTGGCCTGCAGCTTTTCGGCCGTCATCACGATGGAATTCCAATCGGTGTTGCCGGCCATCATTAATATTGTAATTTTATATTTATGACGTCAATACTATAGAATACCTAACAGAAAAACAGACAATATAATATTAATATATTATATATATATATATATTATACGAAATTGTATTAATAATCAAAATCTTAAATCACAGTGGATATTTAGTACCTAACCCATAGAATAGAGATTACTGATATTTGATTAATGATTGGACCAGAGTGCTCGGACCACAGCTATTCTGCTATAATACCTTTAAAAAGTTAAAACTTATATATAATTTAACGTACTTGATTCTATGATTCTCCGAAAGTCGTGTGCTGACGGCCAGCATTCTGCATAACAAAACAGCTTCGAAGGTTCAAACATTCAAAATACGTTCTTATCAAATATTCAAAATAGATAATAACCGGCTCAATACTAGCGCTGCCAAGCGAACTTTTTGTGTACTATACCCCCATACGGCCATAATACGGCCATACTCGTGAATCGTGACGATGACCGTCGTATAATCGTATATTCGTATATAGTAAGCCGTATAGGACCTATATGGTGATGATACGAAACAAAATGGTGCGATAGTATACGGGTAATATAATATACAATAAAATTCCCAACACTATACTAAAAATAGTTCAGATAACAACACAATACGGACCGGCATCTCTTTAATCGCGGACCGGCACCGGTCCGCGGACCGGCGGTTGAGAACCACTGGTATAGGTAACATAAAAATAGGTTCAATTTTATTATTTATTAAATATTATGTCTTATGTCTATGATAAGTTCAATAATTATCTATTGCCATTATACTATATTGCTATTTGCATTTTGGTATTGGCGTATAGCAATGAGCATTGTACAGGTTTTGTTAATTTGTTTCATTTAAATATTTGACGCAGCTTTAACAAAAATAATTCCGCAACCATATTTAAATTATCTATAACTAGGCATAGGCGCAATTTGAGGGGGCGCTTGGAGAGACTTTGCCTCCTCCAAAAATTTATATTTAAATTTAAGTAGGTATTAAATCCTTCATTAATTATCTAATCTACATAGGTACCTAATAAGTAATAGGTATTAGGTAGGTACAGTATTTGAATACATTTTTCCTAAAATTTAAATATTTGGGTTGAGTAGTTTATGAGTTATAAGTATTTAAAGTTTAGACGAGCGGAGTGGAGTGGTTCGGGGTTACCCCGCGAAATGTTTGTCCACTTCACCGCTCGTCTAAACTTTAAATACTTATAACTCATAAACTACTCTCCCCAAATTCAATTTTCATGTATCAAAATACTAAGAAAAATATTCTACTTTAGAATATAAAATTAAAACCCTATGTTGTCATTCAAAAAAGTAAAAAACTTAAAAAATTATAAGGATAAAAAATAATTAAAAATATAATTTTTTAATAAAAACGTTGTTTTATAAGCGACTTGAAACTATGTAAAAAAATATCTTCAAAAAAATTTACACTTTTTGAAATAATGAGTGTTGTTTGATAAAAGAATCACCCAGTATGTTCATGGCTGCGCCTAAAGAACATTGATTTATTTGATAATATTACCTACCCATCAAATGGCAGTTTCTCTAGCAACTGAAGCTTATAGACCTAAATTCTATATTAATATACTATACCATACTAATATACTATAGTCTATAAATTATAATGAATAAGAAGTATGCTCTATGATACTGCGCATATTTTTGTAAGGGGCAATGTATAATTTATATAGGCAACCAACAATAAACACAAGCCGACGTCACGAGTATACATTTAAATATATTTTAATCTTATGCAATGCAGTATGCACAAAAACACAAGGCAATGCACATGCGTGAACTAGGACGAAAACACGGTTCGAATTGATCATAATTCTTATTTCTTATACCTACAATGTACTGTACTATATTATTAATTATTATAGGTACACGTCTTATAATCTAGTGTTTGTTTGTCATACCTATTTTCATAAGTTTAAGTATTGTTTTACAATTTTTTTTTTTTAAAGCTCATTGTCGGAATTTGGGTTGCTTCGACAACATAGGCTTCTATACTATTATATAGTATAATATATACTATATAATATAATACCAATTACTAAGTACTAAAGTACTAGTATATTATTATTATAGTGTTTGGGTGGAGTGGCTCCAAAATTCTTATTGGACAAACCGATATTTTCAGGCCACATTTAAATATTATGACCTAAGTACATATACTATATAATTACCAACATCTACGTAACTTACATTTTTGTTTGGAAAGTGTTTTAAAATATTTTTTTTGATTCAATCAACTTATAGGGACACTAATCATCACATCATATATTTTTTTTATAAAATAGTAGAATATAATATTATGTTCTTGCTACCTTTATTTTTTGAACTTTTTATCTAAAAGTTATTAATTTTATTTGATTTTAGCTTTAAGCAAACTACCAATTTAACGGTGCTTAATATTTCAAACAAATAGGTAACAAATACAATTTTTAGGGTGATCTTTTATTCAATATAAAATAAAACTGATCATTAAAAAACAGTTTATTAGGTAACATAAAAGTTTAACAATAGTAATTATATAGATATACACCTATTGGCTATAAAAATAATTACAATAACAACTTACTTAAAAAATTACTTTTTTAAAAAATTTACTTTAGTAGGTATCTAATCAGTTCATTATTACCTATAGCCTATTAAGTATATCATTATCTATAGTTCCATCAAAATTGATTTTTCTATAGACATTATAATAAATGCTTCTATATTAGCGTAGTTAGTTATAGCGTTTCTCAATCTATTTTTTAAATATTTAAGAGTAGAAACAATCTACGATTATCCCTTTATCATACCTACTAATTTAGACTTAAAACATATTAAAGCCAAAAATCTCAAAATCTCGCAAAATTATCGAATTATAGATTGACGGTCGACGGGCCACTTTTTGTATAAGAAATCCAGGTCACCGGCCAAAATCTCTGTTGCTGGTGCCTGGTGGGCCACTCCGCTTCTGATGGACCCTATGCATAGCTATACCACGGAACTTGTTCACTTCTTACTTGATATTACGAAGTATGAAGTAGGTAGGTATTTAGAAACTATAATTTTAATAGTTTCATTGTCTCATGAGAAAATATATTTAAAAAGTTTGTTTTTTGATTTGGTATGCGCACTCTTGACTTCAATCATCGGTATAACACACAGGCCTCATCTGTACTTAAGCGCAGTGGCATAGCCAGGATAAAGAAAGGGGTAGAGGGGGGATTTAAGTATTAATTAAACTAAGTTTTTTTACAGTTTTGGTATGTAAATATTAAATAATAAATTAATTAGGATGGAGAAAGCAATGAAGGGGGGAGGTTTAACAACCCAAAAACCCCCTGGTTACTCCACTGCCTATATTGTATACCTATATATAACATCTATTCGACAGAAAATAACCAAATGTAGTTTTAACACAGGTCTATAATACATGTAGCATCAGCACAGCCCACAGGTGTAGGTACTGTCATATTTAATCCTTAATAGGTAGTTGATTAATCAAATATTATTATAAGTAAATATATATAGCCTATAGGCTATAAGGACATAGTAAACTAGGTAACTAAGTAGTATGGTACATTGGTACCTATTAATAATAACTAATAAGTAATACATTTTTTGACAACTGTGAACTGTTTGTGTTTTGGTAAGTGATGAAATAAACAAATACAAAAGAAACAACTAAATATTTTAAGTATAAAATCGTTTTGCTCAAGTAGATTTTTATAAATATCTATAAAAACATTCTAAATCTAACAGTGGAAATTATTTATTGTATCGGCATTAGACGCTAAAAGGTTTTTGTTGTGTGACATTCAGTGTTCTCCACAGGCCCGGCACAGGGTGCCACGCATTTATGTCAGTTTTTTTCAAGAGTAAAAACATTTTCACTGTTTTACTTAGAACCTTAAGTTAGGTTAATGACCTTTATAAGTCTATTCAATATTTAGGAGGGAATGAGGGAGAACAACATACAGCCTCTTTACTGATAAATTATTTTAATGGAAAGAAGAAAGAAACCACGTCAAATTATTTAGAGATTTTTTTATATAATATATTTGTAGGTATTGTTTGCAAATTGCAGTTGGCAATCAGTAAAGTTATAAACAAATACAAAACATTTAGAAATAATTAGAATATTTGAGTACTTATCAATTGTTATAACGTATTGGCGGATTAAAACTAAATTATTATTATTATTATTATTTATTATTTATTATTTATTTATAAATAAATTGCATTTTAGATTTTGAGAACAAGCCAGTAAAGAAAGCATTTTAATTTGTGTGTTTGGGTCGAATGTTTATATACCTAATGTATTATTAATATAATATTATAAAAATTAAATGTACAGTCATATAATACATCCTCTGTATATAATATCTACATTGAATAAAGGCTGATTCACCAGGCGTGCTCAAACCTCACCAGTCACCACCATTTTTTTCTGTTATATTGTTAGGTTAAGTCGGATAAAGATTAAAACTAAATCATAGTAAAACACTTGATTAATGCTTATTTAATTTAATATTATTCCAATTACAATAATAACCATACCCAAATAGCCAATAGTCAATATGTTAACGTAGGTACCTACATTTTATTTTTACATGGAATGATTGGCGGTTAATTTGAATATAACTAGTTCTTTGGCTTTGTTATATTGGAAGTATTGTGAAAAATTGCAATCTAATTGTTGCACTTGACACCAATTGTTATTTTGTGATAACAAATCGCTGAAGTATTCGTAACATGGAGCGCAAACTTCTAAATCAACTGAACTAAATACATACCTGATGACAGAAATAGTTTGTTTTAACATGTAATAATATGTAGGTAATATATATATAGAGAGTAAGTACGTTATAAATGTATTTATATTTATTATATTAAGTACCTTTTTTCCATTCCTATATAAGCGGTTTTTCTAGGGGATATTGTCATTAATTTTTTTAGGGTATTGACAAATTGTTCAGTAATGTAGTTATCGTAAATCACTGAAAAAAAATATTGTATAGTATTATAACATATATATATTATATATATATTATATAATATGTAATATATTTTATAAAAAATACCTACCTATTATACTATTATATATTTATATAGTGGATCACAATTTATTTTATTGAAGGTAGGTAAATATTTCAGCCAGTAAAACTTTGATTTGATTTTAGATTTTTTTTTTTTACTGCACAAAAGGACTTAATATTTATTTTTATTTATTTGCATTATACAGATAAAAATGTATAATGGGCCTCACTACTCATGATCTAGCTCAATGCTCGTAAAGTACTATTTAATATTTTCGATAACAACTGTTATTTGACAAAGAAATATTACACTTATTTTTGTAAAGTTCAAATTTATTATATTTTTTCCCTCAAGCTCAGTAATACAAATTATTTTTGAATCGCACACCTTTCTGAGTTTGAATTGAAAATATGAATTCCATTATTATTTTTAAAATGCTAACTTAGAGAGTGAGTTTAATGAGTTAAAAATCATACGAAATAAAATGGTGGTTCGATTTAAAAAAAAAGGTGGGCAAGTGTGTACCACTCTGCTGTATAATAGTGCTGTTTATTTTAGGTGTCGTGTAGGTGACAGTAATGAATATGACACGTGTTAAATTTGAATTCAATTATATCAAATAATCATTGTACACGAAAATCGATTTTGAGCAAATACCTAGTCTGTCAGTCTATATATATTTTACTATTAGTATAATAGATACAATAGGTTTTAGGTTGAATTAGTTTTTGCCGAAAATATTCCATTTGAAAATTGTACTGTACAAAATATAATATAGCCTATAGGTACTTTAAAAGTTTCAAGTACTACCGAATAATAATATTAAATAATAACAAAATAACTAAAATTGTTATTCGTCGTTTAAATATCTAATTATAGGTATGTTCAAATTTAATTTAAGTTAAAATATCTATAAAACAAATTGCGTTTATATATATTTTTTTTTTATTACAGTATATATGAGCTACTTATAAGAATCCTTGTTTTTAATTTTCAATTCTTAGGTATAAAAACGCTTTTGAAAACTACAGAGAATTTTAAATTCTGAGTGGAACGATGAATGTATTGATTTTTCAATGTGTTTTTTGGTTTTTTGTGTCTGTGTACACGATAAGTAGTCGGAATAATGCTTCGATTTTCAACTTCAGTACCTTTTTAGATGATAAAAGAATATTGTTGGTGCAGTTGGGAGGTCAAAATTGACAATAGTTTTCAAAAGCGCCGGGAAGAACAACATAAAAATTAAGGGAAAACGGGAATTATTACGCAAAATAGGTTTTCCAGAAAGTCGATTTTGGTTTTTGGTGTAACTCTAAAACAAATGAACGTATATACATGAAATTTTCACTGGTTGTATATATTTCCATTTTCTATACATAATAATATTTTCAAAATATTTTGATTTGTTTTGAACTGTTTAGGGACATTTTCAGTTTCCCATTTTATTAGTTTTTTTTTCTATGAATGTCAATAAAACTTTATTTGTTGAGTAAAAACACTTGAAAATTTAAAACAAGGCTCCTACTATATTGTTACAAGGACATTTGAAAAATATTAAAAATCCTTAGTCACATTTTTTTTTTTATAATCATTAAATCCAAAATTGACAAAATATGGAAAAATCACGAAAATTAGCAAATTATTTTGAGTTAAGAATTCGTAAAATTTAAAGTTCGAATTTTTGACAAAATGTATCAAATTTAAAGTTTAATAATTATTTTGTAGTTAAAAATTTATAAAATGTTCAACTTTTATGGCTAAGGATTGAAAATTTAAAACATGGTACCAAGTAAATAGGTAAATACTAAATATATTATAAATTACTTTATTCACAATAATATCATCAAATATACTTAGTAATATCATAGGCTGACCTACCGTTTTCGCTCAGAATCGGTTTTCTTATACAATGATATGATATCATTGAATTCAAATTTAACACCGTCCATTACAGTGACCCACTTGTAACCTACTGTACAGCAGAGAGACATCCACATTTTTATTTTGACATCTTGAATACAATAACTGAATTAATTTTTTAATGAGAAGTTTTTTTACTGCCCCCAAAAGGTGATGCAGACACACAAAAATTAAACACACATCATTTTAATATCAATATATTTATCGCTCTGCTCAGAACCTAAGATATATATTTAAAATATAATGAACAATTTTGTTTTACTGCGTATGAGTAGAAAAAAAGTTATAAATTTGAATTTAAAAAATAATTGTAATGTATTTTACAATAATTGCATACCTACCAACATGCATATTGTATACTGCGTTGTTACTATTTTCTGTGCGATGTCGTAAAAAAACACTGAATAAAATTAAAGCATATCACTATATCAGCCGAAATATTTAGTGTTATCTTAAATTGTGATCACACTTATTCACATTGTGAGTTTTCAGTTATCGGTTCAAAATAATATATTTATCATATTATATAATATATTTAATTTTTAATTCTATCAATTTGTAATGTCAATAATATATAAAATTTAACGAACCATCTGCAGCTATTATAATATGTATATTTTTTAACTTCTCGCATAGTGCATCACTCAATAATTCAGGTTCATTGAAATTCAACGGCAAAACGGTCGTTCGACTGACGATTAAATCTTGATTTAAATTTATGTTTTTTTCAATCATTGACAATATGTCTTTGTTGTTGATATCTAAAAAAATCCAATTAAATTACAAAAATTATTTATATTATTTATTTGTTTATTGACGCCCGAGAGAGCAATATAGTGTTCATATATAGAGTCACTTATGCATTTTGAATTTAACGTACATTAAATTTAATTACATTTAACAACTATTAATCTAATGGAATTAACAATAACTATTTTTAAATGTGAAGATATAATGACTAAAATATTATATATCAAATATTTTCTATGTGAAAAATGTAGTTGTTGTTTAAAATTGAAACATAAACTCTGAAGTTAATAGATTTACAATCGTAATCGAAGTCAAAATTATCAAGGTTATTGCCTATTGCAACCCGAGCATTCGAATTCTAAGTTCTAGGTTCCTTACAAGTTACAACTATTGAACTATACGATTGTGTGTGTAATGACTCATAAAAAGTAATCTTAAATCTGGTGTAAAAAGTTGGAACCAACCAACCTATTTCTTGTTATTACAATATTAATATGTATCACCATTTAAAATATTAAAAACAAAAGACACGCATATTTAAACTTACGTCTGGAGCAATGCCGTCAAACTCAAAGTGGGCCAAATATATTTAATAACTTACCATACAAGAGCACATACAAATTAATCGAAAAAAATATTATATACCTACACATTTTTAATTTCATTCATTACTTTTTTATCTAAAATACTTAAATGACAGTTTATCAGAGTATCAGACAATAACTTCGATAAGACAAGAAAATAACACAATGTATATCTCTCGGCCTCACTAACATAGTTGTGACACGAAAGGAAAATTGTATAATTTTTTCCAATTAACTGTTCATAAATATTGTTATCCAAGGGTCATAAAAAAACGAGCCTAGGGCCGCGTGTTTGATATGCCTGGTCTGGCGAAAAGTGCTAGTATACCTTATACCTACTTCACTTCAAGGCAAGTTCCTTCTTAGTTCCTCCATAGTTTTTTCTATTTTAGATATATAGGTTATAGTAGTTAATATTCGGAGCATTATATACAGCCTATGTGGGGGATTGATCCCCTTGATCCCCCCCGTAAATACTCCACTGGTATAGTGGTATGTAATATACTAATATGCCTGAACCTACACATAGTATATTATATTGTTTTTATAAATCATAGTAATTTATCAATAGTAATAACCAGATTTACCTGTAAAAATGATTTCTTTGCAATACATGGCAGCTACGATACCAGTTAATCCTACTCCAGATCCGAGTTCCAATACAATCTGATCATTGGTGAAAATATCTCTGTTTTCCATAATAAAGTCACCCATTAATAACGCACTCCGCCACACTTGCATACCAACCATATTTAATGAAGTTCGATTTACATGTTCTACAATAAGTCAAAATCAAATATTAATTGTTTGTTATTATGTTGAATCACATTATATATTATGTATATTATTTTATCATATTATTTAATTATTATGTATAACGGTATCGTCATAATAATTATTATTTACCTATTATAATGCCTTTGGCGAGCGGACTTCTCCGAACTACTAGATCACCATCTTCATCTATGGATAATTCTTCTGGACAAGGCTTATTTGGTTGGCATTTAAATTTAAACGTGCTCCTAACACCTAAAAACATTTGTTCGCACTTATGAAAAAAAAATATATATTTGTCAACTGGTTTTACATTTATTTAAGTTAGGTAGGTACGTTGTATATAATATTATGTACTATTCAGTATTCTATTTTGTATTTTTGTGATAAATACGATACGAACACCAATATTTGAGAAATAACTGCTCCGGTCAGGCTCCCGCCGAAACTAATACCTATAGTCTATACTTATGGCTTTGTTTATGGTGTAACAACTAACAGGATGATTACTGTTGTAATTATTATTTTAAAAATTTGTACTCATTATTTAACTATATACCTACTTACATAACCGAAAAATCATGTTAAAAAACCCGTAATTAACGATGTATAATATATTGTTTTCCGGTACTACTTCCGTGCGTGCGCCAAGTTGTGGTATTATGGTTACAGACGATTAACAGCACAGTCATCACTACAATGGTACTTGGTAGTATAATGATACCAACATTTCTATAAACTTCAGAATTTATTATGTAAATGGAAAATTCAATTATACAATAGCGTACAACCTATTTATTTTGGTTGTGTAGATATATAGGTACCGTATACAGTATACACCATTAAGTGATCTGAAATATTTTACAACCTCACACGGTCATACACTGAAATTACATGTCAATATGTCATTACTCATTACATACAATATATATATCTCAAATGTAATTAAAAATCTAAAATATATAATAAATAATCTTTTATTATTATATTATAACTACTAAACCAGACCACCGAGTGTTGCGTGTATATATATACTCATATATAGCTATATGCTTCACCAGATCCGACACTCATGACAGGGGAAGGCAATCAAAATTGTTTATCATTTTCATTCGCCCAAATAGGGGGAGGGGGGCTTGGGGGGATTTAGTCCACCCAGTTCATAATCTAGTAATTAGTTCTAATTTTTATATTCTGCTGTTACTAAGCAATATGGCTTATGGGGAGGGGGCTTGAGCCCTCCAAAAAATTTTGGTGGGATAATGTTGGGCGACTAACTTCAAGGACATCCACCGCCGTCATCGTCCGTCTGACGGTCTCGTGTGTCGGCAACCGCGAGAGCGCGAAGCTGGCAACCGCGATCTGGTCTTTCAGGTGACTTACCACCGGACACCGTAAAGTGCTCTTTCACGTACCACTCCCCACGTCACCGTCGTCTTGTCTAGTGTTCTTCAACTTGGATGGAGGGGGGCAGTAAACTGCGGGTCTCAATCTCTTCGGCCACAATCACACAGTAGCATCGTTTAGCGCCTCTCCATGCGGCGGTGAAAAAGCACCTGGGCCGTCCACGCGAAGACTTGCTATAGTCACCGGGGTTGCCACCTCCGGGTCCTTGGTCCTATCCAGTGTAGTACCTTCCATCGATTCTACAATTCCCTCAGCTGGTATGATGTCTGCCTTATCCACGTCGCCGGCATGCAGTACAGCGGCTTGCAGTACGACGCCCTGCCCGGTTGTCCCAGGCATCTCGAAGGGCGTCAATACAATCGCAGGGTCACCGCTAGCTGCTAGAGGAGGAATCCTGTATTCACAAGGCATCAAGTAGCTTATAGCGACCATGTCACATATCACGGCTTCGTCATCGTCGTTGTTGGGTTTTGTACCTAATTCTTTTTCTTCGAGTGTTAGTTGTTCTTCTTCGTCCATATAGTCATAATCCATGTATGAACGCTATTTATGACGATTTCTTCGATTAATCCGAATGCAATGTCGTTAATGGTGGCCATTTTTAAGTGCTGTTTTTTTTTAGGTCAGGCTCTAAATTGCAAATGAACTCGAAGCGCAATTCAAAATCAGTTTACTCGAAAAATTCAAACATTTCGCAGACGACGAGTAGGTACACGACGGCGTTTATTACATGCCAGCGAGTACGGTCGCAACGTTCAAATCAGCAATCGTTAGGATTTCGGGCCCGTTTAGTTTTCCAAGAACCATTATTATATACGTATATACGCGTAGTTATAATATATTTAACTATAATATTTTAACAAGGATTTGTGTTTTGATTCGTATTATATACTGCAGACCTTCAGTGCTCGTCTTATAGTTTCAGGTCTTTTAGATTCTGAGTGAAACAATGGATGTATTGATTTTACAATGTGTGTTTTTTTCAGGGTTGGCACGAAAAAGCCCACCCCGAAAAAACCCGGGCTGCTTTTCTGGATAAAATACTCTTTTTTTTTTTACTTATGTTAATTTTCCTTATAGGAATTATTTGTTTTTCCAATTAAAATATTAAAATGTTATGAAAAAAACCTTATTATTTTTTTTTATTAGGTAGGTACAAATAAAAGTATATAATAGAAAAAACTACACACCAACGGTCAATATAAATGTTAACAATTTTTATTTTTAACAAGGTATTAAAATTTAAAATATAAAATAGGTAACTTTCCTTTAAAGTTTAAATACTTATACAAAAATTAATAGTTAAATAATGACAAATACTTGTTAATGAAATAAATAATGATAGCTAGTCTGTTAATGGTAATTAATAGTTGATAAGAAGTTTAATTAAAAAAAGTCCTCCTCAACTTCTCCTTGAGGGGTTTTTATGTTTAGAAATCGGTGGATCTTCACCAATTTGGCTGCCTTTTCATGACCCAACCGATTTCTAAGTTTGGTTAAGGACTGGTGGCATGACTAATAAATTTACAGTTTAATAACAATTTAACAACTAACAACAAAACAAAAAACTTAATAAAGCCACTAACGTCAATAAATATTAACAATTAACAATTCGGAAAAGTTCAGAATGTCAATATCTTATATCATTATCATATAGTTTTGGCGGGGCCAGTTTAGAGATAACGCGATAAGGGAAAAATCAAATAACAGTGCAGCTAATACATGGAAAAAAATTCCGATTTTTTCGGATGGGCTTTTTTAGAAAAAACCCGATAAAAACCGCCCATTAATATTTTACAATAAAACCCACCGGGTTTTTTGATGGGTTTTTTCAGAAAAAAAACCCGATAAAACCCTCCATTATTATTTTTACAATAAAACCCACCGGGTTATTGGGTTTTTTAGGGTTTTATTGGAAAAAACCTGAAAAAACCCAAGCGGGTTGGGTTTTTTCGATAAAGCCCGGGTTTTTGCCAACCCTGGTTTTTTTGTGTTCAGTGTACGCACGTACAAGTTTTATAGATAAAAAATGATTCAATCTTCAATTCTAAGGGACACGGGTGATTTCTGATACGAAATTGTATTTAGTTGGTGCCCATTGAGAGGTCTATATTGAAAATTATTTTTACCTACCTGGCATCGTTTATCTATTATCTGCAGTTAGAACTTGTAATAGTTCAATAATTTCGTGAGATATTTATTCTTCATTGTTTAAATATTATATTTTATAAAACTATGACCAGATGAATTAGATTTTAGGTTTCCGGTAAAATGTTCGTATTATGTTCATTGTGCTGTGACAACAACCACAATACAATATACATTAATTTAACGTATAAGATCATTGATATCGATAATTAAGCGATTAATGATTATTATAATATTATAGCGATAAAAATTTGTCTTTTACGCATACAATTTTACCAGACTTTTACCAATAAATGCACAACAATGTTAAATAGATATTGATCAATTCAAGGTCATTTTGATACTATATGGGGTGTAAATCATTATAGGCACCCATTTAAAAAAATCGAAAAATGGCGCAAATACAATATAATATACCTAGTACTCTTTTTAGTTTTACTAGATACCAGTTCAATAAAATCTAATGTAATTTACAAACCCCCGCATAGAGTGCAACACATTATCTTAATTGTTTACGAGTATTATTATTAGATTGACTTGGTACGGTATTTATATTGAATTCATTATGAAAGGTAGAATGGGGGAGGATGCAAATTTATTATCATTGTACAAAACAAACGTATTTTTATCCTCTTACCAAAGACTGCCCAAGAGTACTTATCCTTTTTTTTTTGTTAAATGTATTTTTAAACTTGTAACTGTTAATAAAATTGCCTCGAATTATAACTTTTAATATTTACATATAATTAAGTCCCAGGGGGGGCATCATCTCGCATCACCCCCTAAAAACCACCACTGGTATTACATTGCACAGTATCTATCGAGGTACCTATCTATTATCCTAGAATGATTAACACCACTTATTGTGATCTATATAAGTACCTACCTACATAATTTACTTATATATTATATTATATATATTATAATTTTCCAAGTTACCTATATGGCTATATGTTCAATTGTGTGTTTCATTTTTTCTGAAATTTAGGAATTGTATCTAGGGTTACATTTTTATAAATCATCAGTATCTATTACAACATTATTTTAAAATAATGTAAATGTGATGCGCTTCACACTGCACAGACACAAATGCCATATGTTTTATGTATGTACCTAACTGTATACGCATTACTGGTTTGTGAAAGGAGGTCAATACCTACAGAAAATATTTAATTCCGTTAAACTGTATACGACAGTACGACACTAAACGTACATCAATATATGAATAACAAATAACAATATAAGTAATTGTAACTTGTAAGGGATCTATCTAAAAACAATTTTGTCATCCACTAATTTAATTTAATTTATAGTAAATTATCAAGTATAATGTAGGTAGGTACCTATTCTATTTTTATCCTGCAGGATCTTTGCCCAACTAAAAATGACATCTAGGGAGTTCTAAAATATTATATTAGTTCTGTACAATAATTATTTGTTATTTTTGAATATGTTTTAGTCGTATTTTTCTGGAACTTTCAACTTTACAAGCGATTCAAGATGCTCTGTTTTGTCGCCTGAAAATAAATGAGGTCATGTTTGTGTTAACTTTAGGTACGCCATATTATCGGCAAACATTTTCCAAATTTACGATCCACCTTTTTACTATATAGTAAGGTAACTACTGGCTATATATTATGGATGGGCCAAGTTGCATTTACTATAAATTCTTACAAAATATTTCGATCATCAAAAATAATATTATAAAAAAAAATATACTTGATACGTATTATTTTATTTTATTAAGGGAATATAGATTAATAAAATATATTATGTAGATTATATTATTAATATCTATACTATACTGGCATAGTTTAATAGTTACATTTATAAATAAAAGTCGGTCTAGAGTCAAGATCTACATCAATATGTTTTGATGCTTATAAATTATAATCACAGTTTACAAATTAAAGTACCATAAAAAAGAGGTGAACTAGCTCCCGTAGGAGTCAAGTGTACCTCATCATTGAGTACGCGTAGACCACTGTAATGGATGTGTAAAAATTTGAATTAAATGACTAAATTAATTGCGTACGAAGAACGATTCTGAGCGTTTCGCTAACATTTCATAAACATTTGAATTTTGAATGCTTTTAAAAAAAATGTGACTGTGTTTTTGATATTTTTAATTGGGGTCTGAACAACTGTAAGTAACCTTGCATTAAATTGTCAGGCTTTTTTACTCTAAAACAATGTTCTTATACATGAATTGAAAAAAAACTAAAAAAAGTTAATAATTTCAAATATCTAAATATAGTCAATATAACACAAAATATTTTGAAAGTTATATCATGTCAAGTAAATGACACTAAATGCTAATATTAATGCAAAAAAAAATACTTATAATATTCGGTGCAAATATCAAGTTATTCATTTCATAATTAGGTACCTACAACAAAAAAACCAAATTGATTTTTAAAAACTGGTTTTATTTAAGAATTCCCGTTGTTCCATCAATTTTTTTTATCAGATTATTATATTACAAGTATTAAACAACTTACTATAATTTATATAGTATTGTAGTACTATATTTATATAGTATAGTAATATTATATATTCAACATACAATTTTTTCGGAGTTTCGAAGTGGCGTCGGTGGTCTTATAGCATCTATCTTATTAATTAATATAATTACAGTCCTTTCCTTATTACAAGTATTAAATAATGATTATGTCTATAGACATAGACATAGGTACTTAAAAATGTCAGAGCGTTTCCAGGATTTTCTTTTTTATTGAAGGGAGGGGGCTGATAATATATTTACACAAAGTTTGTTTAACTAGGGTCTCCCATAAGTTTAGTATACTGATATCGAGGTTTTATTTTATGTATCGGTTCCTTGTAAAGCAGTGATTCCCAACCTTTTTTTACTGAACGCCCCTTTTAGATATTCAAAAATCTCACACCACCCCTCTATGATTTTATATGCTAAATTCTTAAATCTAATAAAATTAAACGCAACCCTCAAAATTAAAAAATCCCACTTTGGAAATCACCGCTGTAAAGGTATACAAATTTGTATTTGTAATAATTTTCATAAGCCACAGAAATTTTTTTATTTTCTTAAAATTTCGGGGGGATATGGAGGCTACGTTTAACAGAATATATTATAAAATAGAAATTTACACAAAATGTTTGCAACACACTTGCCAATAAGTAAATAATCAGCTCTTTTACGAATAGCTACAAAATTATTAAGAAACTATATTTTTTTGATACTGGTTAATATTGCAATTTATTGCACATAAATATGTTAATAGAATGTGGATTTTAGGTGTATCTATATATTATTACATAAATTATATTTCTGTTAAAAATCTATAAGATATATTCATATATTATATTTATTTACTTTATTAAAAAAAAGAGTAGGTATAGGTATGTATAATGTATATCTAGCCAAAAATATTGACCTACAGAACATTATACATTTTTAAAGGGAAGACGTTTGAACGGTTAATTAAGTTATTATATAGATTAATACCTAATAAATTATTTAAATTAGTTATTTTATAAAATTAATGAAGTTTTAAAGATAGTTAAAATTTTAAAATATAAAATACCTATACTAAAACTAAATACCAAAAAAAAATGAGCACTTATTGTCGGCATGTAACAACTTATCATCTATTTTATATTTACCACCTATGGATTTAAGGCAATTCGATAAAATCAATATAATAGGTGTAACTATAACACCTATAGCATAAATGTTAAACTAGATATATACCAATAATTTATGGATGTAAATGATATAATTTTAAGTAATATATTAGGCTGAATAAATTTTATTTAAACAGTTGTACATAATAGTTGGATGGTATAGTGGTATACATATATTATTACGTACCTATACATAAACATATTATATAATACAATTCTATAGGTGAATTTCATATTTTCCATACATTGTAACATTGTGCGTGCCTATTTTAAAAATAATGTTTTATCCATTGCAGTTCAAAATTAAATGACATATATACCTACTAGCTACTATACACTATTATATTAAAATTATATGGTGATTTAACTAGGTTAAATTTATTAATTTACATTTTAGAACTATATGTTCTACATTATTACTTATTACGTATGCTTAAAAAAAACTTACTTCTTATGTTATGAGTATCACCAGATTCATGTTCCTCGTTCAATTCTAGAAATAGTTCAGACTGTAAAGTATTTGTTGTGTTACTTGTAGTTTCCATGTTTTTTATTTTGTCAAATTAAATTAATCGATATGAAATATTCGTACAAATATGTTATAACACTCGCATATCTAAAAGAACATAATATAAAATATAATAATTAATGCTCAAACGTTTAAATAAGCACATAAGAATAGCTAGGATTCTATTAAACGTATGCCAAAAAAAAAAAAATAAAAAAAAATACGCTCAGGGTTTGTGATATGATTATTATAGCCAACAAACTCGGCCAACTTTATTATACCTACAATAAATTTGTTTTATTGTCCTCACTCCTGAATTAGTATTTAGTATATTATGTTTAAGTAACCAGTATTGTCAATTTAATAGAATATATTAATTATAAACGTACTTACGTACTACGTATACATAATTGAGTCTATTTTTTAATTAAATTGATTTCATTATTGAAACATATTAAAATTAAGGTTATAAAAATTGATCTTGTTACCTTTTAGATAGGAATATTTTTATTCACCCTATTTACAATTTTCTCTGCAGTTACACATAGTCACATATAGATTGGGGATCAAAACTCAAAAATATGAGTTAATTATAACAATAAAACAAAGGTCAACATAACAAAGGTCTATAATTATATTAAAGTTAAAACTGAAACGTTACTAGTAGTTTATACAAAATAGGACCATACCTAGAGGAACCTCTTGGGTGTCACCACCACGTCACTTGTTGTGACCTGCACAACAAGGACATGTGTAGGAAGATTAGATACAGATAAAGAGTATGAGAGTAACTAGGATTTAATAGTTACTGGGACTAGACTACTAGAGTCATTTAAATCCAAAGTTCAAAATAAACCATGGATTGAAAAACTCCTCACACTCAACCATCATGAGCGTCACAACAGTTTAATAGTCAGTATCATCTCAGAGAGTCGTGTTGAACAAAGTGGGCAAGTGGGTAACCGCTCTGATGTACCTATGTCCTATATATACATTAAGTGTCGTATAAGTAACTGTAATGGAAGTGTTCAATTTGAATTCAATAATATAAAATCATTGTATACGATTCTGAGCGAAGATGGTCAGCCTATACATTATATTATATATAAATATATTTTATGAATTTTTGATATTAATGATATTAAAGTAATTTATTTTACTACTATAGTAATACAGCGTTTTTTTGAATTTTGTTAAAATGCTAATTTTAAATGGTTTTTAAAATATCGTGAAAATTGCATCTTTAATATTTTTGAACGTCTATTATAAAAACTTTGAGGAAACTTGTATTACATTTTCAAGGTTTTTTAACATAACAAAAAATTATTTAACTACATTAATAAAATTAAAAACAAAACAAATCAAAATTTTCTCATGTCTATAAAATATAAATTGCTCAACATGCGTTTGGAACATTTAATCGTGTATAGAGAAAATGCTAATATAAACATTTGGTGAACATTTTAAGTATCTACGGTTGTTTTTTTTTTGAATTTCAACAAAATATTAAAAATTGATTGTTCAGAAATTGTTAATTTAAGGGTGAATATCCAATGTCGTAAAAATTTTAATATGAAATGCTCATAAAAAATTAATGTTACTTACCAATTAATTAATTTTTTTTGAAAGGTAGAAAATAATGGCTTTATAAACAGTTGGTGACATTTTAAAGTATATTGACGGTTATTAGATGTGATTAGTTTTGGGGTTTCATCGATTCCGCCAGACCTTTTTATACTAGGGGATAAGGTATATCGATTCCGCCAGTATAGGTATAGTCTAAAAACAACCTATCGATTCCGCCAGGGAAAAAATAAATCTCCCAAACGACAATTATTATAGTCAATTGTAAATCGTAATGGTAGATTTATTAATAAATTATGAAGCTAAACAAATTAATCATTTGCATTTCATTAGTTTGGCATCATCACATTATAAAAAATAATACTGTACAACTTAAAACTATATTTGTTTTGTGTAGGTATGTATATTATATATTGTATATAAACAAATAATAATATTGTACAACTTTTGACATTTGACAACATCATATATGTAATATGTATATAATGTAGGTACACATGATAAAAATGTTATCAAATTTTATTTGTATTTTTTTGTATATTTAATATTGTATTGTATTAATTATTAATTTATTTTTAATATTTAAATTAATTGTTGAATTATTTTGTAGATATATTATTATTATCATAACAGAAATAGCTAGGTATAGACAGGGCCGTCCCGAACAACAATTCATGGGGGGGTGGTAGATCTATTAATTTGACGACTGAAAAATTTTTTTCTCGCTTCGCTCGAATACGTTTTCTACTATATTATATTTAAATTTATAATATTATTTAATTTATACCATTTATTTATGACCATCAGGGTTTCTTCGACAGATCCCAACCCACAAACACACATGTAAATATGTAATGTGTCACTTAACCAACCGTAATTCCCCTCACAAATAGTTGCCAATGGTTAAGACCAATAAACGAAGAAAAAAATGTCTTTACTTTATTAGTTGCTCATGTGAAAATAAAAATATTAGGTACCTACCTAACAATTAATCATAATTTTACAACTTCCACATTCTATTTACCCAAATTAATACAAATGTGTATTTTAAATCTTAATTAAGAAAATGTTAAAAGTATAATATCAGTTTTAAACAAAATATTTTTATTAATACAAATTATAATATTATTATACATATCTCGAATGAGATATTAATTCTACGGTTTTTCAAAGTTGCCCATAATGTTGGTATTTTGTTCATATCTAATTGATCAACCACATCTTTTTCCACGCTTAAAATCATAAGTGAATCCAATCTATCATCAGCTATAGATGATCTTAAATTATATTTTATTAGTCGGAGTTTGCTAAATGATCAGAACACTCAACGTTAAGAGGACGTGATACCCATAATATTTAGTGGTAAAAACAGGTATGAATTTATAATGAATATATGAATTATTAAAAAAGTTACAGTTGATTAAAAAATGTAAAAAAATAGCAGTAGATGCTGTTGGTGTTTCATGGTTAACATCAAGGAATGGCATATCAAGTGATTCTGGTGGCTAAAAAAACAATAAATCAATATTTAATAAATAAATCTTAGGATAATTATAATTATCATAATTAGTAGGAAGATACAAATATACAATTGTAAAAATATATTATTCATAGTACATAGGTATCTCATAAAATAATTTGTGATAATTTTACAGCTAACAATTTCATACCTACTGATAAATTTTTAAATACCTTTGGTGGAAGATGGTTCAAATTAATATTTGTAAAACAACTTTTTTCCAGTGGTCTCTGGGTATTTTGAATCTAATAAATGAGAACAAAAAAAAATGATTAGGTACCTTAGTACCTGCCTATATCTACTTATATAAATATTAATACAATTTACTAATTTTTATTTGTTAATAACATAATACTGATAGTTAGTATTATTTATTTTAAGTACTTTAAGTATTTTTACTTACTTGTTTTGAATTTGATTTAGAAGCTTCGAATGGATTTTTAGGAGCACCAAAATGTTTGGTACCGACTTTTTTACCATTATGTATATTTTTTTCATGTTTTTGCTTATAATCATTGTCAAATGTTTTAGCACATTCCAAGCACTCTAATTTAATCCGCTTTCGTTTGCCGGAATTTGTTTCATTTTTATTGCCAAAATTCATGATTATTTAAACAGTAAAATGCAAAATTATATGAATAATAAGAAAAAATAATCACATAATATTAAAATTATAATAAATAGAAGACTAAACAGTTAATTTATAGTAGGTAACTACAGAACACGTTACCACTAACCTCGGACGAATAGTCGAATAGACGAGTAGTCAGTAGACGACAACTACTGATAACTATCGACTGCAAATGTGCAACAAATTTCAAGAATAATAAAATAATATTTTATAATACCAAGAATAAGTCAATACATACGACTACGGGTAACAGTTTACATACTTACGTGTTGTACAACAGTCGAGCAATGCACTAGTAGATAGTAGATAAACACATCTATTTTTAGCATTCGGTGTAATCAAAGTGTCGAAGTGTCGACGTCGTCGTCGTCTTATCTTTTATAGAAATATATTATATAATATTATATACAAATATATTTTGAAAATAATAAAAATACTATTAAAATACTGACGATGCCAAATTGCCGACAACTTTTACCAAGTGTGCAATTTGCCGACTAAATATTTAAAAAATCATGAGTGGGGGGGTTAGACACCCCCCCACGCCCCCCTCAATGGACGGCCCTGGGTATAGACAGCTGCAGCAGGTTGAGGTAAAAATTGGTGGGTGGCGGAATCAATAGGTTGTTTTTAGAATAACTGAACTGGCGGAGTAGATACTGGCGGAATCGATGCTACATTGGCGGAATCGATAGGTCCCCCAATAGTTTTTAGTTAAGTACACCAAAAAAACAAAATCGGTTCTGTCAAAAACTGGTTTTGCTTAAAAATTTCGGTCTCTCCTTATTTTAGATTCTGAGTGAAACGATGGATGTATTGATTTTACAATGATGTGTGTTTTTTTTTTATTTTTTTATTAATTTTTTATTTTTTTTTTGTGTCTGTCATCACGTTTTACGACAGTAAAAGTGCTTGGATTTTCTTCAACAGTAGCTTTTCTGATAGGAAAGTGAATTTAGTTGGTACTTGGGTCAAAAGTGAAAATTTCCCAGTAGTTTTCAAAAGCGGCATGAAAAACAAAATAAAAATTAAGGAAAAACGGGAATTTTTACACTAAAATCTGTTTTGATTTTGGTTTTTGGTGCAACTCTTAAACAAATGACCGTAGGTACATGACATTTTGACTGAATGTTTATATTAGAATTTTCTATACATGCTAACATTTTCAAAATGTTTTGATTTATTTTGAACTGTTAGGCATATTTTCATTTTCCATTTTTTTTTATTTTTTTTTCTAAAAATATCAATAAAATTTTATTTGTTGGTTAAAAAAGTTTGAAAATTTAATACAAGGCTCCTACTATATTGTTACAATGGCATTTAAAATATATTAAAAATCCTTAGTCACAGTTTTTTTTTATAAGCATTTAAAGTTCAAAAATTGACAAAATATGGAAAAATCACGAAAATTAGCAAATTATTTTGAGTTAAGAATTCGTAAAAATTTTTCTTTTTAAATCTAAGGCATTAAAATGTAATACAAGATTCCTTATAAGATTATCTACCTTTAACAAAAAAAAAATGTCTATAAGAAAGTCAAATTAAATTTTTATGAGCGTTTGAAATTCAAATTTTTAACACATTGGATATTCACTCGATTTCTCATGTAGCGATTTCCTTATTTTGTTGTAATTCAAAAACGAATAACTGTAGATACATGAAAATTTCACTGAATGTTTATTTTATCAATTCTTAAACTTGATAAGATTTTCAAAATATTTTGACTTGTTTTGAGCTGTTTACGGACAATTTCATATTTCTATTTTTTTATTTTTTTTTTCTATGAATATCAATAGACAATAAAATTGTATTTGTTTGGTAAAAAAGCGTGAACATTTAATGCAGGCTCCTAACATATTGTTACAATAGTAGTTGAAAAATATTAAAAATACATAGGCACAATTTTTTTTTATAAGCATTTAAAGATCGAATTTTGACAAAATGTATCAAATTTAAAATTGAATAATTATTTTGTAGTTAAAAATGTATAAAATATTCAACTTTTATATCTAAGGATTGAAAATTTAAAACAAGATTCCACGTAAGTAGTTAATTCTGTTACCAAAAAATCTAAAAAATACAAAAGCACAGTTTATTTTGATAGTCATTTTAAGTTCAATTTTTCACAAAATTACATAAAAAAAAACCTAGAATAACTATTTTAGTTATTTTGTTGTGATTGTGTAATTTTATTCGTAGCCTCGTAGGTACTTGATACTTCTAAAGTACACTATTATATATCTATGGAGTATGGACTATGATAGTATCAGGGTTTGTTGTTGACGAATAACGCATTATAACTTATAAGTACCTAATAGATATTGTGATATGATTAATTTGGAATTTATTACAAGTACCTATTATCAATGGGTCAATTTTTTTTTTAATACCATAGATTATTACCTATGTATAATATGTCTTATACCTAGACTGACATACCGCCTCCGCTCAGAATCGTTTTTCTTATAGAATATTATATCATTGAATTCAAATTTAATACTATCCATTATAAAGTGACCCACTTGTAACCTACTGTACAGCAGAGCACCTTTTTTGTTGTTGTTATTTTTTCCTACGCTTGAAAAGTACAGGGAATTTTAGATTCTGAGCGGAGCGATGATGATGAATGTATTGATTTTACAATGATGTGTGTTTTTTTAATTTTTTGTAAATACTTATCTCTGTACAAGAAAAGTAATCGAAATAAATAATAATACTTCGAATTTCAACCTCAGTAACTTTTCTGTAGTGAAAGCGAATCTAGTTGGTGCATTTGAGTGGTGAAAATTCAAAATTCTCAATGGGTACTAAGTTTTAAAAAAACGTCCGGAGAACACGTGAAATTTTAAGAAAATTCAGTTTTTACAAAATCGATTTTGGTTTTAGTTGTAACACCACGAATGTAAAAAAATTGTATTTCTTACAATTCTACGGTTAAACGATGTAAGAACATTTTATTAAATCGGAAAACACCGATTTTTTGCAATGCAGTCGGAGAGATAAAATTTCTTAAAATATTCCTTGGGATTTATTATAGCACGTAACAAGTTATTATTAATCAATATTCATGGAATATGGTGATGAGCTTCAATATTTAAATTGTGCCGGTCACCGATGTATGTCCGGCACCTACCTAGTACGACAAGAGGTTAGAGGCTGAACGGTTTGAAAGTAACCTAAATTGTATTACTAAGACGGATACATTACACGTCATGTTTCATTTAATTGCCCAAATAATGTGTAGGCACAAAGAATTTCAATAAGGAAATACGAATTAAGTGTCGATTTTATGTGGTACCGAGGGATAAATCACAAATGGAAATCAGTGTACACTAAGTCTTAGTAATATTTTGGTAATCACGGACATCTTGGAAAACGTTGAAATCATTGTTAAATGGAATTCTGGAATCAAGTGTACACAATCTGTACCAGTGCCGCGCCACTGTGCCAGTAATACCTACCACGATTACCACACTACCTACCAGTTGCCTCTATTTTAAGAAAGAAATATATTCTATGGTTGCTACCAGTAGGCAGTAGTTACATACCAGCTCATATTGAAATCTGGTTCCTCTGTTCTCACTTCCTCCGATACTTGGAATTTGGATAGTTGGATGCATAGACGTCCTGATAATCAGGTATTATCACTTATCAGGTCTATGGTTGGATGACTATCCTCTATTGAGACTATTGAGAATACTCAATAGATGCACTAAAAATGCCGTAAACCAAGAAAATATCATGAATATTAGTTATGACTTATGAGGGTAGTGGCACTTCATATTTTTATACTTTCAAAGTTTCAAGTTTCAACTCGAATATTCAGTGAAATCAATAATGAAATATATTATCAAAAATATTATTTTGTTGTTGTCGTGCCTGAAACGAGATAAGACATACTATGGGTGCGTTCCGGCTGGACGCTTTCGCGCTCACAGTGCTCACAATAGCGCTTATGATTATGAACCGTTCCACTAGAAAATAATCGCATAGAATCGCTTTGCTTACGTTCCAAGTGGAACGATGTTGAACCTGCCATGAGCGCTTAGACCGTGTTATCATTTTATCAAAAATGAAATTGATAACATAATCCACAAATCTAGTTTGTTTTTTAAATTCAAAATTGTAATAATCTACTAACGTTTTGTTTCTTTGTTTTTATAATGAATAATTTGAATGATCGTGCGTTAGTTATTATGGCTATACAACAATGCTGTGATATTATATTTTCTTCTTCGTCGGATGACAGTGAAGATGACAGCAATGAATTGTATGAATACGTAGTACAGAATCTTGAGACTAAAACTGCAATACCTAGGTTGCAGAATTATGTTGAAACCATCGTACCACAATTCAATGATGGACAATTCAAATCTCACTTCAGGTTAGTAGTAGGCTTTTAAGTTTTTAATAAGGTTAAATGTAAATATTCTACATAAAATTATTGTATTATTTTTTAGGATGCTTCCAACCACATTTGAATATGTATTAACCCTAATCGCTCCAAAGTTAAAAAGAATGAAGCCGGGGTACAAATCTATTTCACCAAATAAACAATTTTTAATTGCGATATGGAAAATGGCTACTCCTGACTCTTACAGGTACTTACCTAACCTAACCTTCTGTTACACAAATAACATTATTTTTAGATGCAATAATATTACTTGCCATATTATTATATTTAGTTCTATCTTTTATATGATACCTACCTAATAACTTTTTAGATCAATTTGTGAAAAATTTGGTGTGGGGCGAGCTACTGCATTAAGATGTATTAGAAGAGTCATTGTTGCTTTAGAAATGTTGGCACCAGTTTTCATCACTTGGCCAAATGAAGAAAAAGTTGAAGAAATTTAAAATGGATTTTTTTCTAACAGTACTTTTCCAAATGTTCTTGGTGCGATTGATGGGACACATATTAACATTCCTGCACCACATGACCATCAAGAAACTTATGTTAATAGAAAAGGCACCATTCAATTCAATTACAAGTATGTTAATGTTTTAATTTTTAAATTTTATTCGATTTTAATGAACTGTTTTTTTCAACAGGCTGTGTGCGATCATAAATGTCGTTTTATTCATTGCTATGCTGGGAATGTGGGTTCAGTACATGATCAACGGGTTTTCAGATTATCTGAACTGAAAAATTACCTTGATGACGCAACCAAATTTCCTAATAACACCCATTTAATTGGTGATTCTGCTTATACCTTGCATGAACATCTTATGGTTCCATACCGTGATAATGGGCACTTAACTCAAAAGCAAAAGAATTTCAACTTTTGTCATTCCTCTGCAAGGATGGCAATTGAACGGTCTTTTGGTTTCCTAAAAGGACGGTTTCGTAGTCTCCTAACAACATTGGATATGAAGCGTGTCGATCTAATTCCCAAGTATATTATTGCATGCTGTATTTTACATAATATATGCTTATTACAAAATGATGAGTTTCCTGGTCTACCTGAAACAACACCGGTAAACGAAAATATACAAGCTCGTGGAGAGTTGGTTGCAATTAATCGTCAAGGAGCATTCAAGAGGGACAATTTGTGTGATCAACTACCTTTTCGCCATATATAGTGTAAATACAATGATATGTTTACAATAAAAAAAACTAGTCTGAATCATAACAATTTGTATTTTATTTTTATATAATTATAAGTTAGTACTACCATCAAACAAAAATATATATTATATTAAATATATATCACATATATATTGACTAATTACAGTTAACAACATTAGTTCACAAATAAATATCAAACAAATATATTTTCAACCTTTGAAATATTGAACATAAATATATAATGATAAAAAAAAAATAATAATAAACAAAATAAATAATAAAAATAATAATAAATAATAAACATATCTAACAGATTATAATCCTCGGTCTTAATATTTTAAAGTTTTACAAATCACATATATATTGACTAATTACAGTTAACAACATTAGTTCACAAATAAATATCAAACAAATATTGAATTTTGATTGACATTGAGGACCAGTTACATTGTAAGATTTTTTTAACAGTTCATCTCCTATTGATTGCCAAATCTTTTTTTGGGAAATCTTCCCTGAACAGAAATTGTCGGCAGTTTTTCTATATTCTTCAATAAGAAGTAATATGGCCTCATGAGGCCATTTAAATACATTGACATCAACTTCAGCTGTCTGTTCTTCTTGTACTGTTCCAGAATAATTATTCTGTGATGTCTGTTCAAGTTGTTCTGTCGGCTGTTGTGAATCAGATTTATTTTTCTTGCATATATCCAACATTTCAGCTGCGAATACCATATCTAAGAACAAAAAAAGGTGGGTAAGTGGATGTCGCTCTGCTGTACAGTAGGTTACAAGTGGGTCACTGTATAATGGATTGTATTAAATTTGAATTCAATGATACAATATCATTGTATAAGAAAAACGATTCTGAGCGAAGACGGTATGTCAGTCTAGGTTTAAGACATATTATATACAAATCTATGGTAATAAAAAAAAAATTGACCTATAATAAATTCCAAATTAATCATATCACAATATCCACTAGGTACTTATAACACGTTATACATCAATAACAAACCCTGATACTTATCGTGTACACAGACACAAAAAAAAAATCATTGTAAAATCAATACATTCATCGTTTCACTCAGAATCTAAAATTCAAATTGAATTCAAAATAAGTTCAAAAATTTGATTTACTCTTATAATACCTGTATTTATACGATTCGCCTCATCCCTCGTCACATTTAATGTGTACGTTTCTCCATCCACTCCATCCATCAGTATAATAGAAATTGACATATTATTACTATTGCTATTATTCATATTACTATTGAATTAAATTATTAAACTATTACTGCTGTAATAAATGTAATATTAATAATAAATATTACTGCCGTACATTTATTTTCAAATTGTGGTCTGTGATAAACTGATAAGATATCGCAAACGACGCAAACGCTTACGCTGCACTACCTATTTCATTTGAGCGTTGGTGAGCGCGTGACGATGACGTAGAGCTCAGATCTCGTGACGTCACGGTTGTAGTGTGAGCGCTTATAAATGCCAAGTGGAACTCACTGGGAGCGCTCATGAGCGCTTGAAGCGTACAAAGCGTCCAGCCGGAACGCACCCTATATCTTTTTTCTATGACCACGAAACTGCCAGCCAAGCAGCAAGGCGCGAGAGTGAGAGAGAGAAAACGCGAACGACGCATACTACAATTATTATTGGCTCGAAAATGTGTGCGCGTGTACACTGCGCCCGCGGACCAATGATCGGGCACCACGAGCCAGTATGAACATTTTGTTTACATCATCAACATTTTATCAGCGGCGTACAGCACCGCTGCCGCACATTTTCGCGTCACTATTCGCACAACCAACGTAGCAGCGGTCGTTGTTCTCCACCCGGAGTGGTAATATCCGTCAGATCCGATAAGTTTTATTTTAGTTTTCAGGGTTTTCAAATTGTACGCATCCACGTCGAATCATCACTACGATCCAGCATTCGCCGGTAAGTACCTAAAGTCCGTCTACTACGAACGCCGTGTCGTCAACGGCCGTAGTATTGTAGGTCGATCTCGACGTCCACGGTTGTGTCGTTACTATACAATATTGTTATAATTACCGGTGTGGAGGACGGTGACCAACCATCTACTCACCTTTTACGTTGTTTTCTTTATTGACGTGTATTTTTCTGTTGTTCCGTGTCTGCAGAATCGAATCGACGACATGATTCTTCACGTAGCGTTCGCAGCGTTCCTGTTGGTTAACTCGGCGATCGCCGACGCCGGTGTCCAGGAACAGGTGGCCGTCGAGTCAGACGAAGGCGTGCTTGTGTTGACCAAAGACAACTTCCAAAGTATCGTCTCGTCGTCCGAATACCTGCTCGTCAAATTCTGTGAGTAAACGTTTTATTGCTGTTGTGTTCACAAACACAGAAATTTTGTATCGTTTTAAAGGTTAGAAAACGTCACAATGACCCCATATAATATGAGAACTCTAGACACTGATGTTTGCCCATTGATCAAGCACCATATTATTCGGAGTGGGGGGAGGAGCAGTGGCGCCGAAGTCCATGCTGACGTCAAGCCGTGGCCCGACCTCTTTTTTAAAAAATGTGGCCGGCCAGCCATATTTAATTTACATCATAACTTTATTATAAGCATGAGTAAATTTAAACCGTGATTATGAATAAATTTATATTAGGGTACCTCTATATTAAATAATTAAGATATTGAGGCCGGGAAGTTTTAAAATTGCCTGACCACATTTTAAAAACTTCGGCGCCACTGGGGAGGAGGATCGACTTTAAATCTTTTTTTTAACAATAGTCAATAATAATTATATTATTTTGACTAAAAGGAGCTCATACACTACACTTTCATACTTAACAAATGTAAAATAATGTCTAGTTGGTATATTTTATATATAATGGTATCACAATTTTACATGTAATATAATGTGTGTTAAAATAGTTAAATATAATTTTAAACTTCATAGCTTTAAAAGAAAAAATCTTACAATTCTAATCAATGAATATGAAGAGGTACAAATCAAGCTATAATGGCTTTGACATTCCATTTTTATCTTTTTGCTTTTCAAATATTGGGTATTGTTTTATTGGGAAAATATGTCTTACAATTCTCATTTTATGATAGTTAATAATTAATATAAAGTTAAAAAATTACAATAGCAAATTAATTACCTAGGTACTTTAATAACAATTTATTTTTCTTGGTAAAATATTTTCTTAATTATTTATCTATACTTCGTTCCAAATATGAGCTCAACAGGCAGCGACCTGTTTCCGTCTGGCGGCGTGCACTCTGCATATAAAACCATAGGTAGTGACCGGTGGAAGGGGAAAAAGTGCACATAACCGGTGCTCTCTTATTTGGACAGACTTATAAATAAAAACTATGTAGCTTATTGAATAATAAGCTACAAATGGCTTTATTAAATTAATAACTATAGGCATTTATTATTTTTCCGTCCGATAAAACCATGTCTTGAATATGATTATGTTGAATAGATTAAATTAATTGAGGCATATAAGCATATTGAACAATATTAATTATATAATGGTGCTATCAAAACTTAAATATACCTAACATTATTTCTTATTAGTCATAGGTTTATCACTTAATTCATTATAATTAATAATTATATTAACTTTGTCATAGGTACAATCTATTTTACTATAAACTTAAAGTTCACAAAACTTTGTATTTTATTATTTATAAACTAATATAGGTACCAACTACTCACTATAATATATAGTATAAAAATACTAATTATAGTATTTAAATTAATAGTTCCTATTTATAATTTAAATAATTAAAACTATATTTTTGCTTGGTCTAATTTTTCAGACTAATATAATAACTGATAAAAAGAAGAAAACATTTTTTTTTTAAATGCACATAACTATATAAATGATGTCAAAATTAATTTTCAATTAGAGTAAAATACCTAGTAAAATAGGGTTTTGAGATATGTTAAACATTTTACTATAAACTCACTACAAATTGTATTTAAATAATATTTATTATAATTATTTATATTTACTTTAAGCTTTCCTAATTAATGATGTTTAAATAAAGCATAATCTTGTTATTACTATTATTATTTCTTTTGACAATTAAAATATAATACCTAGGTAATTAGTATTACTAAAATAGATAACCGGTAACTTGTGTTTAATACATAATATAGCGATACATTCTTGCATCCATAGTCCATACAAAATAACCATATTTTACTGCTTTGGGTTGACTATCTTTTTTATACATATAATGTAATGACTAAATACATACCTTTATTTAACTAGACTAATTCATATATTCAGAATAAAATATTTCTTATGTTTACTGTATTTTTTTTTAGCTATCTTGAAAGTTTATTATTTAAACTTGTTATCTTTTTTTATTATCTTCTACTTCCTTTTGAGTAATTGCACATAATCATAATAGTTTTTTTCTATTCATGTTTGTACAGTACAACATATTTTGTAAATTTATAATATTATACATAATATTTATATAATTTTATCTTATATTAGTAATATTCCATATTTATATACCTATGAAAAAAAAATGGCTGTATATATTTAAATATCTGGGCATTATATGACAAACATTCATCTTAGATACCATACCTTAAGCTATATACAGGGTGATTTTTTTATCGAAGAACACTCATTATTTCAAAAAGTATTAATGTTTAAGAAAATATTTTTTTACATAGTTTCAAGTTGTTAAAAAACAATATTTTTATTAAAAAATTATATTTTTAAATATTTTTTATCCTTTTAATTTTTTAATTTTTTTACTTTTTTGAATGACAACATCTAATTTTAATTTGATATTCAAAAACAGAATATTTTTCTGAGTATTTCGATACATAAAAATTGAATTTAGGGCAATTAGTTTATGAGTTATAAGTATTTAAAGTTTAGATGAGCGGAGTAGAGTGGTACGGGGTTACCCCGCGAAATGTTTGTCCTCTACTCCGCTCATCTAAACTTTAAATACTTATAACTCATAAACTACTTGCCCTAAATTCAATTTTTATGTATTAAAATAATCAGAAAAATATTCTGTTTTTGAATATCAAATTAAAATTAGATGTTGTCATTCAAAAAAGTAAAAAACTTAAAAAATTAAAAGGATAAAAAATATTTAAAAATATAATTTTTTAATAAAAATATTGTTTTTTAACAACTTGAAACTATGTAAAAAAATATTTTCTTAAACATTAATACTTTTTGAAATAATGAGTGTTCTTCGATAAAAAAATCACCCTGTATAATATATTTTTTAATAAGTGTGTTAACCAATCACAAAGAAATATTCAGTTTCTCGTTGACACCAATGGAAATCATATCTACACGGCTAATTTTATAAAACTTATGTGTAATTAAAATTTTTAAACTGTACATTTATCTCATACTAGCTGATCCCGTGCACACACACACACACACACACATACACACACACTGACATACATTCATTTTTATATATATAGATTGATATGAAATCTTGGTAACCTTAGTAACCATGGCAACCTTGGTAACCATGGTAACATGGACACACAGACACACTGACATACATTCATTTTTATATATATAGAAGAGCATAATAACTATGAAAATCTAATACCTATAGTAAATCTCCTTGTAACGGACCTCCTTTAAGACAGAAACCTCCTTACAATGGAAAGTAACAATAGTCACGTATAATCTACATCCCGTATATTTTAGTCTCCCTACAATGGAAAAATCACTTTGTACCGATCAATTCCGTTCTTAGGAGGTTTTACTGTAACATACTTAATAAATTTCAAGTTTGTGATGTATCGTTGATGTTTAATTATTTATTTTATAATTTTGGTTGTTTTGTGTACATTTTGTAGATGCACCATGGTGTGGCCACTGTAAACAATTAGCACCAGAATATGCAAATGCAGCTCAACACTTAGCCCAGAATGAATTATCAGTTAAGTTGGGCAAAGTAGATGCCACTATTGAGAGTGACTTAGCTGAACAGTTTGGAATCCGTGGGTATCCAACTTTAAAGTTCTTTAAAAGTGGAAAACCAATTGACTATTCAGGTACAAAAAATAATTTAGTTTCTAATTGGCAAGGCTGGGCATTAACGAGTTAAAAGTTAAAATTAAGTTAAAACGTTAAGTTAATTTTAATTAAGTTAATTAACTCGTTACTTTTTTTACAAATTAACTTTTAACTTAATAAGTTACTTTTTTTTTAAGATTAACGTGTTAACTTTAAGTTAATTTTATTTAAAATTATCTAAATTAAGTTAATTTTAGTGCAAAGAAAAATGCAAATTATTAATGAGGTTTTTAGTATATTTTATGATTTACTATTTTAATATGAATTTCCTGTAGACGAAAATAATATGAAAAATAACTTTAATAGTCATTATATGGGCTATATAATATCTACCTACACGTTTATCATTATAAATTGTATTAATAATATTTTCAAAGATAGGTTATACAGATTATCGTTTAAATGGGTTCCCTGAAGTGGATGTCGAATGTTGTCGTGAACGTAATAATATAGTACAAAGTAATTATATTTTTACTGATAATAATTGTTCATGTTGTGCTGAGCCTAGGTTTTAAAACTACACGGTGGCTGCATTTTGTCCTCAGTATAGAAAATATATTTGGGTGGTAGGTACTGCCTGTTTGATTTTTAAAATGTATGTGAATCAATTAAAAATATTGGTATCTTGGCAGTTGGGAGAAAACTATTAAGGTGTTTTTTTTTTTTTTTTTGATGTACCACTTGGGTAAATTGATTTGAGTATGAGTTCAGGACTAAGATTTATTTTGGAAAAGTCGGTTTTTTGATAGCTAATTAATACTTTTATGTCTCATTTAAAAAATGTCCCTAGTATTTTTCTTGAGTGTAAAAAAACTAATATTATGTGTGCAATTTTTTATTTTTGCAAAATAGAAAATTTTAACTTTAAACTAAGTTAAGTTACTTTTTTTTCAAAGTTAACTTTTAACTTAACGAGTTAACGTAAAAAATATGATTAACTTTTAATTTAACTTAACTTTATTATTTTAAAATAACTTAACTTAACGAGTTAAAAAAAATCGTTAACTTGCCCAGCCTTGCTAATTGGTAATATTATTTCAAAAGTATTCATCAAATTCTTGTTTTATAATAATGATTATAATTTTTATTTTAACACTAGGTGGCCGAACTAAAGATGAAATCATTCAATGGGTATTGAAGAAATCTGGACCAGCTGCAAAAGTATTGCAATCCGAAGAAGAAGTACAATCGTTCATTGAGGGAAAACATGTTGCTATTGTTGGTTATTTCGAAAATTTAGAATCAGATGCTGCAAAATTATTTTCAGAATTGGCAGATTCTGTTGATGATCATCCATTTGGTCTTGTATCAGATTATTCTAAATTCTCTAATTTAGAGCACAAAGAAACATTTGTTTTATATAAAGATGTAAGCATTATCATTGTATTATGTAATTTATTATTTAAGTATTTACTTTATATTTTTGTATTAATTTTAGTTTGACGAAAAGAAAGTTCCATACGATAAAGATATTGCCAATGTTGAAGACATCAAGACATTTATTTTTGTTCATTCGTTGCCTCCTATCATAGAGTTCAACCAAGATACTGCTCAAAAAATATTTGGTGGTCAGATTAAGAGTCATTTGTTGCTCTTCTTATCTAAAAAAGAAGGACATTTTGAAAAATTCATTGATGACATTAAGCCTGTTGCACTTGACTTCAGAGGAAAGGTAAATTAAATAATATTTTAATAAATTCATATTTAATTAATTTGAAATTGTTTTTTTTTAGATTGTGATTGTTACCATTAATGCTGATGAAGAAGAACATCAAAGGATTTTGGAGTTCTTTGGAATGAAAAAGAATGAAGTACCAAGCATGAGGGCAATCAAACTTGAAGACGATATGACCAAATTCAAACCAGAATCTCCCGATTTAACCGGAGAAAATGTGAGGAAATTTGTTTCCGATTTTGTCGAAGGAAAAGTTAAGGTATGATGATTATTACTTATTGGTTATTGGATATTATTTTTAACATAACATTTCTGTTTAGCAACATTTGCTCTCTGAAGAATTACCCGAAGATTGGAACAAAACTCCAGTCTGGACTTTGACTGCTACTAACTTTGATAGTGTAGCTTTAGATTCAACTAAGAATGTACTTGTAGAATTTTATGCTCCATGGTGCGGACACTGTAAACAGCTTGCACCAATTTTCGATAAAGTAAATAAATACAACCTAATGTTTTTTTTACTTAAGCAAAGTTTTTATTTTAATTAATTTATATTTTAGGTTGGAGAATATTTCGCTGATAAAGATGATATTGTCATTGCAAAAATGGATGCTACAGTTAATGAACTTGAGCACACCAAAATTTCCAGCTTCCCTACTCTAACATACTATCCAAAGGGAGATAGTCCAAAAGTATGTTAATTCAGTTTACTGTTTGTTTTTGTATTGCAAATCAAACAAAATATAATTTTTCTTTCTATTTATTCTTAAAACTAACATTGTAATCATTGTGAACATTTTAAAGTGTTGTAGAATATTATTCTATGAATGACTTCATTAATTGGTTACATTTTATTAAACAGGCCATTGAATATAATGGAGACAGAACATTAGAAGCAATCATTAAGTTTATCGAAGCTGATGGAAAACAAGAAAGTTCTTCTAGCACAACGGTAATTAACATTATATATTTATAAAAAATAAATAGCCATCCTCACTAATGAGATGAGTCCGTATATATTCCCATTTCTACTTTTGATTCAAAATTGAAATTTCAATTTAGAACTATATAATATTATCTGGAAAACGGGCCTGACAATTCCATTTCCAATCAAATTAAAAATCTGTACATAATTATGGTCGTAATGATAAACTAACAGGAAAGAAACCTGTTTAAGTAGACTGTGAATAGTCCACTCTACCTAACACATGCATATGTAATGAAAAAAAAATAATTCTTCTCCATTCTGTGATCCCTGCAACATCGTGTTTTAAATTAAACATGTATTTGAAAGAAATGACAAGTACAAATAAGCCTTATGAGAAATCCCATCTTATAAATCCCCAATTGAACATTAGTTGGCAGGCCACACTATACAAAGATAATAAATATTTACTAAATTTATGTTTTAATTTTGTATAATATATAACTGTTGAATCTTCACATAAATAAATTAGCAATCATATTATATAGTAATTATAAATACGTGTACATGTTATTTTACAGAGTGAGGAAGGAGACGAAGAAGAAGAAGAAGTAGAACGCGAGAAGCCTAAGGATGAATTGTAGATATTATTTGTAAAGAAATGTTTATTATTATATATTTTTTTTTTTTTTGTTCCATCTTGTAAAAAACTTCAGAACATAGACAATTGGACTAATACCTAATTGTGTAATAGCTAATTTTGGTTGTATCTACATTATTTATACTATAAAATTGGTATTATTACGATTGTAAGAAAAACAATTTTCATTTAATTTTCATGTTGTCCCCTTTCTCAAGACTGTCATAGATGGTTCTGAAATAGACTTCTTAAGAACCATATTTTATTTTATATCAATGTCTATGATGTTTCCTTGTTAAGTAAAATAAAAATAATAAAATTAATATTGATATTTTTAATTAATTCATGAATCATTATTTTAAGTTATAGTTAAAAACATTTATTTATTAAACCACAATTACTCAAATTCTTGAGTAATTTAATTTATGGATCTTTTTACTAATTTTATATACTAATAATAACATTGATTTCTGAAATTAATTTTAATGGTAAAGTTTAGCCATAGGTTTTATTCGTACTTTGATACAAATCATCATATATATTTTTTTTACATTTGTTATGTATTAAAACAAGCGTGGGTGTATTTTTATTTTATCATAATGTTTTAACATCACAAAAATTCATATTTTTACTTCATTTGGTTTGTTAAAATGTTATCTTTTTGTAGTTATTTTAAAATAAATGCTTTATAATTTAATATAACTTTTAGTTTATTTTGAGTTTATTATGATTATTTTGACTACGGCTGTTTAAAGATCTTAGGATGCAATTTTAAGGAAGTAGTACAACCATATTAAAAAAATTGTGATAAAATAATAGCATTTGAGTTTAATTTAGTTATTTTTAATAAGTGTATAATTGCTACACGTGATGACGTTTTACCAAATTGTTTTCTGATGATAGTCTATAATGCCAAGTGCTAAAATGTATATTATATTATAATTTTTAACTTAATAAAATGTTAATATAAAAATATATGATATATCATCAAAAACTTCTAAAACATAAGATTTAATGTTGTAAATTACAATTACAACCTTATAATTACTTCAAGTATATTATAATATTTTAATACAGAGTGCTCTAAATATTTCATGTAATCCTACATTGTATTGTCAATGTTCCATATAAATTATAAATTTAACAGATAATACTAGAGAATATATATTTTTTTTTCAAATCAGTTTTTACTACCTACCATACTTTCATCCTGACCTGTTCCTTTCTGATGTTTCCCATTTGGAACATTCACTGGCTATTTCAGAAATTGTAAATTATTCAAAAAATTACTTTTTAAAAATGTAAGCTTAGTACATACTTAATACTTAATGGAATTTCTAATTTTCATATTGCCCTATTTTTTGGTTTTCTCATAGTAGTATAGTCTTGGTCATATAATGATGTTTGTTTCATTGTTTAATATTGATTATTCCACCTAACAACTTTTGATTTTCAAATAGCAATATATTTTTAATTTGATAGCCTGAAGTAAAATTTTAAAAAAGTCGTACAGAAAGTATCAATAATATTGAACTAATGGTTTGCCTGGTAAATGGTTATAAGCATTTAAAATTTTGACTGGATAACTGGGACCGACAGAAAAAGTTATATTGGAACTATTTTAAAATCAACGACTTCTGCCAGATTGTTGAGTCTTATTGATGACTTAACGATGTATAAAATGGGTACGATACTACGATAATTATGTTTTTTCGGTCTATCTAGGCATGCAGGATATCCGTCAAAACACTCGAAACTATTGACTTCCCCTTCGTGTCAATCCAATCGGTTCTAATGGATTTCCGCCATTTCCAGTAACTTAAAAATCCTGTAACTAGTAAGTCCCGAGAGGCTGTTGCATACTTAGTTCTTTTGTCGTAATCAATAGGTTTGGCTCAATTGCTCAATAGTCTTCAGTTTCAGCTTTGATGGGGAGGGGGAGCATACAGAATACAGATACCTCCCGTATAAATCAGTTATAACTCGTCTAAAAGCATTTGACAATGATATAATGATGTGTCGAATGTCGATGGTAATGGGGCGGGAAAAAAGACTCCCACAAGTCACAACTCATAATATTCTACTCATAGTACTTGTACTCATAGGCGTGCGCAGCCTCCGGTTTCAGGGGCAGCAAGAGATTAATTCGGCCCATTTTACAAATTCACCATTAAACCCAGCCCATAGTTTTACTTTTTTTTTACTATTTTATATCAAAATTAAAATTGTATTGGTTATTTTTCTTTTTGGATAAAAGGTTGTACTTGTACAGTAAGGTATTAAGCCACTAAAGGTGAACTTTTCTACAAGCCTATATATAAAATATTTATCTATAGTTTATCAAAACAAAAAAATCCTTTGTGGAAATATAATTTTACTGAGGCCCATTATTTAATATTTGCCGGCCCCGGTGGCCTCAAGGTAAGTCCAGGGGCAGCATATGCTGCCTCTGCTGCCCCCGTGCGCACGCCTATGCTTGTACTGTACGCCGAGGCCGTTCTACGGTCGGTTACATTATAAATTATAATATCGTTAGTGAATATTGAATAGTGTGCTTGTGATAGTCGACGGTAGGTAACGCGCTCGCGAGTAATATTTATAAGTTGTATTATACACCTAACCAAGGGAAGGTATGAAAGACGCACAGATGCACAATAGGTACATTCATTTAGCGTAGAAGATTGGAAACGATATTTTTTCGTTTCGAGCCTACATAACATTGTTTTTAAGTCCCGGTGATCGTGATACTACCTCTATACTGTTATAGTTATATATGTTGCAACTTGCGACGTGCCATTTAAAGGATATAATAATATAATTATTTATTTTATAGGTACGATAATGCGTATGTAGCTCAGACGCAGAGAGTGATGTGGTGCGCCTAAGTGGCGTCTCTATTTGACTATTTCTAAGGTTCCACAGTTACGATGTGAGTAGTCTGAAGATTCAGTAAGATGAAAAAGTATTGAAATTTTTTTACATATTGGTCTAGGGACTAGGGTCCTAGATGTGCCTTTATAGTTATTACTTAGGTAGGTATTGGCTATTATTTATTTATTTGTCAACGAGCGAATGTACCAATGAGGGATGTCCATTTTTACCCTTTATAATTTATAATAATAAATTGTCCTCAAATTTCTTTAATCTTTGGACACTCTATAAATGGGCGTGGGCCAAAGTAGTTTATGCTTGTGGATATGAACCAATTTTTAATAGAATTCACTAATTGATTGACCGGCTTTGAACACGTACGGTGCAGAATCACTTAAAAATAGTAGCACATTATTATGTTGGCAATAACATCATGGAATCATTAAACAATTTAGAATAATATTGTACTACCTATGATTTGTTTTTTTTCAGTATTTCAGAATTAACAGAATTAAAATATTATTGTAACACATTTTAAGCTAGGACAGCATTGTCTATGATGAATGATGATCAAAAAACAGATGCAAAAGTCACCATCCCGGGAACTTATTAATAATGTTAAAAATGTACCTATACGGCTATACACCTATAGCAACTAGGCGTATTTCCCTACTACATAGCCACATAAGGTAGTAAATATGTGACATTGTGGTTACTTTTGGGCCCTAATGTCTGGGGATCCTTTCTGTCGGCTTAAAACAGCAATGCAGTGGTGCGTACCTACAGTATTTTTCTTTTTAAAGGCGACCACCGAACAAACTGTGCACTACAGGAGATGTTCCGGCGAGGTTCTTGTAAATACAAAAATATACCTATATAATATTAATATAATAGTGGTTAGTACCTATGTCTTATATTATTATATTCTTCTAGTCTCCAGTGTTCCTGCGTGCGTAACAAACGGGCCGGTCGGAAGAGGACGTTCGTAATTATTATTTATAATAATATATTATACGGATGTCGTTAGGACGAGCGGTGGTAGGCGGAGAGAGACAAATATGTGTAACAATAATAATAATATTATTAACGCGATACGGAACACCTCGAGGCCACCGCGAGACCCGGAGGTTGATGCCTCCGCGCAGTCCGTGTCGCGTCCGACACGATCGCCGACCAGTCTCGTGGGCAATCGGCCTATGCGGTCGCTCTCTACCACGGTCGGACCGAGTCGGCGTTCACGTCTTCACCGCCGCGGTACAACATATTACGTACAATCCGTGTGACGTATAGATAACCGGCACTCACTATAATGTAGTCACCACCAGTCACTGGCAGGCAGCAAGTGGCAACCGTCAACCGGCATTCGCGTTCCGTCCGTCGACCGGTGTGAACGTGCGCGCTGTACCACGGTGTTGGCCGCCGCGTTTTGTGCGTGTCCCGTAACGAGTGATAACGGTGCGCCACTGATAACGAACGTGAACCACAATAATAATAACAACAACTATAATATTAATATTATTGAAGTTATCCGTATATTATTATTGTAATATACTAATCAATCAGTATTCATAATATTGTAGCAGCGGCGGCTGGACGACGGCCGTCTGTTTATTGCCGAAAATGTGACCGGCCGACCACGGTGGAACTATGTCCAGGAAAACCAAACGATGGCTGTTACAGTTGCAGATATTACTCGCCCTGTTAGCGCTCGCGTCGTTCGTTTTCTACCAACAGGTGGGAACCACCGGAGGCAACGTGCTCACTTTCGGCCAGCAACAGGTCAGTCCCGCTCGCCTGATTCGTGTGTTTCGAATGTGTAATAACTAACGTTTTGATCCCTTTGTTTTTTTGTCTCCATGTATGACAGCTGCCAAAAACAGTGAGCAACTCTACAAACTATTCAACTTTGGAAAGAAAATCATTACAACACATCTTGCCTGTCGACGATGATCTATTAGAAAAAGTGTTCATCACCGTAAAAACTACTGGGAGAAATCACTTGACCAGATTGCCTGTAATTATAAGGACTTGGTTTCAACTTGCAAAAAAACAGGTATGTACCTATTATTATAAATTTGTGTATATAATTTTATTTGATGGGTATACTCTCGTCGGAGTCACTAGAAAGTGACTAATTTATTTTAATTTTTATGATTGTACCTTCCGAATCTTTGTATGTACCTATTCTGCTTAAGTTATTAGTATAAGCAAATAAGACATTTTTCTCGAGAACACATCAAAATAGCTATGTAATATTAAATTACTAATCAAATGTCATGCATTCCTTTAAAGGCATTAATATAAAATAACTAACAAGGTATTTATTATACATATTAGGTATATACCTAGGCTATTGAGCAAGTTATTAAGTTACATAGTTATCAGTTATAACAGAGTAAAAAAAATTAAAATCAATAGGTAACTAAGTACAGAGGCAAACATTTTACCTACCCTAATTTTTTTCTGGTTAAATTTTTTTTTTTTGAATATTTGATCAGTTAATTTTAGTAAAAAATACTAAATAGTGTAATTGTGATTAAAAGTTGTTATTATACAATAGGCATAAGTATCTATATTCCAATACAATGTGCGTAATGCCTTAATGGTTTTAAAACCTTTTAGATTATGTAGAAAGTAGTATAACGCTTGGTAATTATATAAATGAAGAAGTATAAAATGCTTGATCTTGTAATAATAATTTTTTTTTTCTACTTATAATGTTTTGAATGTTTTCTTAATTATTATTTATTTAAATTTTTATATCAATATCAATGTCCTGTACTGTTTAATTTAGGGCTAATCGTAGTAATTTCTATTAGTTTGGTAATAGTTGAGTTACTTTTCTAGTTGTTAGTTCAGTCAATATTTATTTTGTATCTTCTTCTTTGGTATTCAACCATTAAGGTTGGTTTTGCAGTTGGATATGCACTCTCCACTATTTTGTAGCTATTGGTCTTTTTATTTTATTTTATGCTTTGATATTGATATTATAATCAATTTATAAAATAAAAATTTTATTTTCATAATTTACCTAATTAAAGTTAAAGTTTAGTGGTCGTGTAAAATGCTCCACACACACCCCGGAAAAATTTGGTTTATACCTGTTTAATAATTTTTTTAATATTTTTTTTTTTTTAATTTCTCAAACCCACTATTAGAAAATTATTCCAGTTTATGACAATATGTATAATATCCCTTTGAACAAATTCAACTATCATCGTTATCTAAATTCACTATCATCATAAATTTCGAAGTACAATAATAATTGTTGGACTCATAATTATTTTTAAGAAAAAATTCGGGAAGTAACTTCGAAATTTGAAAATTGTTCAACAGTGACTATTATAGTGGTGACTGGTGACTGGTAGCGCTTTACAGACGACTATAAAGTCTATAACGTTTGGTAGATATAGGTTGAAAATAATTTATAATAATTAACTATAAACTTTTATAAACACAATACAATAGAGATGCGATGATATATTGATGTGGATATTACTTAACAAAGGTTTTTATCTAAATTTTATTACTAACTAAAATAGAATATCGGCGAGTGGGGGACGATATTTTCCAGGCGGTTGTGCGGAGCATTCTACAATGTAGAATCTACATGAGTAACAAACAAGTAAAACATTTTGCTCAAAGTTTACCAGGAATCAGGATTACGAAAAATTACTTCAATTAAAATATTGTACTGGTTTTATTAGTTTTTATTTTTATGAATGGAGAATAATAAGTTTTAAAACGTTTGACTAAAATGTTATTTAAGTAAGTTCTAATTATAACTATTAAATGTCTTAAAAATATAGTGTCGTAGCTAGACATTTTATCCTGGGTAGGCCCAAATATTTCGATAGAAGGATTACCAATAAATATTTTTACTAAACAAAAAATTAATATTAAGTATACCGTATATTATTAGACATGCATGTATTTTAAATTGTACAAAACAATATTGATTAAAATTTAATTTAACCATAAAATAAAAAGATAGCTTTATTCTTTACCAGTTAACCAAATAAAATATTTTTAAACCAAGAATTCTAATTTTAATTTTTTTCATTGATGTGTACGCGTCAATTACTTTAAACGTAGTATCTGTGTGCGCACACTTGAGCCGGGATGGTTTCAGCAGTTGCTTTTATATCGCCTGGTGTATAATAGCAGTGGCGTGACTAAAAAAATGTTATATGTTGAAAATGAGTGACTGACTAAACAAAAATAAGAGCGAAAAATAATCACTTAGTACTAAAGGCACGCAGTGCGATTAGTATTAGACAGATGCAAATAGCGTTTGAGATTTGGAGGGGGGCTGAAGTCCTACTATATAATAATATTGAATATAAGCTTAAAAAAAATTTAGGATATTTTTGAAGGAGCTTAGCCTCTAAAGCCCCCTACTTGCGCCTGTGGTATTAGACTAGGTAATCGAAAGTATCTATCTGACTACCTACAACTTATTATAAACGTCTCGTTATTTTTGGGAATCAATCGAATAATCAAATGGATAATATTATAAAGTGGTGACTTGAAATTGTTCACATGGGCATTGCGATAAGGATCAAGTAGAATTGAGTCGAAAATATAGTATACGGCCTATAACATAATATATTAAACCGGCTTGAATCACTCACACTATGCATTTCGTCGGGTGCCGGTTATTAACTAGAAACCGACCGGTAATTGAAATGTAAGTAAGTTATTAAAAAGTAAAAGCCTCCAGAATTAAAACAATTCAAATCGTATTTAAAATATTATATTAATTTAATCATATTTATACAGACAACACATTCAATACGATTTAAGACATTTATGAAAATGCTCGTGAAAATGTGAGTAGGTCTATCCCATCTATACCATAGACCATAGTCCTACCGACTGCTCAAAAGCAGTTACAATTATTATTAATTTTGATTTTTTGCTTAAATTACCTAATAGATATAAATAAATTTAAAAATCTTAACTCGTTAATTACTTTTAAGCAACTTAGAATTTCAAAAAGTTCGTAAATTTTTTTTAATCTTCATTAAACAATTTTTTTTTAATAAAAGAAGTTATCATCGATTTCAAATGTATGAATATAATATATTACTATCAAGTGTTGAGGTAAGTGAAGCGAGGGGATTGCTCAAAACCAGGTCTCCGTACTCACGCGTAAAACGAATTTTTGCGCCGCTGTTAGATGCTCTAGTTTATTAATTTGTATTTTTTACTATTTTAATTACCATTGTTCAAAGAAAAAAACTAGTATTTGCCGCTGCGACGCTGCCCAAGGCTCAAAATCTGGCACTAAGATATTACTTATTTTCAATACACAATATGATTACTTTTGTCTTGCATGTTTTACAAGAGTGCAGATTGGATTTTTGATTTGTAGTATTTTATAATTGAATCGAGAAAGATCGAGTAATTTAAAGAAGAAATTATTAGATTCTATGATTTTTGTCTCTGATAAAAACTCGAAAAACACTAAATACAAAATGTACAATATACATATACCTAAGTATGTAACATATTAATATTATTATCTATTAATATTTTGAACGTTATTAATTTAAAATTTCCAGAGTTTTTAACAGTTACATTTGAATCCTAACTAAAAAATGTTTTATTTATTAAAACCAGTTTATTGCTATTGATTCACATAATCGAACTTGAAACATATTCAGACAGTAGACACTTCAGTAGTTTTACACTTTTACATGTATAATATACTATATTATTATATATATATATATATAAATTTATATTATTCAATCATAGGTATACCTATTGATTGTATTAGTTAGGTCCTAATAAATTTAACTATTTGATTGTACAGAAAAAATACCTATCTTTTTAGATAACTTTTTCTTTTTTTTTAACTGTATTTGACCTTCCTAGATCCAATTTATTTTTAGCCAAAACTGATTATTCGAAAATAATGATAATTTATGTAACCAAATAAAATATATATGGAAAATTACCTCATTTTACAATAGGTTTATATATATTTGAGATTTTCATAAAACATTTTTGAAAAATAGGTACTTATTATTTGTTTCTATTTTCTATGTCTTGTATAAATAACTTTAAATTAATAAATGCGAAATAAAATATTTAATTTCAGTTGAAATATGTTATATTATAATGAGATCATTGATTAGTTTTATTTATTATTTGTAGTAATTATTTACCTTCATTTTATTTAGAATTAATTTTATGCAATAAATAAAATGCATCCTAATTATTTTTAAAATTACTTATACCTTTTTTACAAAAACGAACAATGAAAGTGAAGGATTAATTTATTATATTGATAGGATATGCAGTGTATTTATAAATCGTTCTCTTGCAGTTATAAAACAATTTGTGTGGTACCTGTATGGCTGTATTGGTGAAAATACCCACGTTGCACTTGTTGATATCGCTGATATTCCAACTGTACATTTAGTACTTAGGTTTTGTTACATTAACTATGTATTTATTATTATATTCATCAAGATTTGTAACGTTTTTAAAATATATCGGGTAACTCATTAATTTTTATAAAATCAAGGTTAACTAGATCAACCGTATTATAAAATCCAAATTGATACGTGCGTCGGGCATGCTGGCACTTTCTTGATTGTATATAATTAAAGTCTTTAATGTTATAGTGCTGTGTTGTTTTTAATCATAATAAGTTCACCAAAATTTAATTTGTTACAGACTTGGTTTTTTACAGACACTAATGATCAACATTTAAGTCGAGTGACGGGTAAGTTGTATGATTACTAGTTTTTAATATAATTTAGTTACGGGGTATACATAACGAATAATTTTATTGATGCATTCATTTTATGTAATAATATGTATCAAAGTATTATTGATGTTTAACAATTATCAAGCTATAAAAACTCGATACTACTATATAAACGAAACATAAATACAATTTAGCATTTTACTATTATGGAAGACCATACACATTGAGATTTGTGATGGATTATTTCAATAAGTTTCTTTACTTGTAACAACTCTGCATATAAACCTTAAAGTGTTAGGTACATTCGTACATTGTTACATTAATGTGTAGGTAGGTACTAGGTATACTAAAAGTTAAAAGTTAATATTTTATTTAACGTACAAAAAAACGTATTATTTTCAACTGGTAATTTGGTGATCTGATAAAATGTTCGCGCTATTAACAGGTGCTGTAAACGTATTATTTAAAAAACTTTTTTTTTATATTGTATCCTCGATTTGTGTATAAGTATGCATTGGTACTAAAATACATGTTTATATACTTGATCCGCAGAACTTCATCATACCGCTTATTATTTTCGGTTTATATGGCTTAAGCTAATCATAGTAATCATGTATTAGTATTCATCGCTTTTTTATAATCTTGCATTATACCTACCTATTTTATTACATATATTGAAATAGGACTTTTAATGTTTATACTTTTTATATGTAGGTTGTTTCGATTTAATACTAGATTTTTAAGAGATTATAAAAATCGTATTTCCGAGTAATTACCATTTTTAAAATGTATACCTACTCAAACTAATAATTTACCAAGTTATATATTTTGTATCTTTATGAACATTTAAATACTTTCACATTATAATATAAAGCTATTATAGTTATCTAGGTATATGATAAAATAACTTTACCGAAAATAATATCAACCTTATTTTAGATTCAACATTTGATTAAAACTAGTAGATCCGAGTAAATTATTTCTATTACTTAATTTAATTATTTTGAGAACTGAAATTTCTTAGCATTGATTAGTATTTGAGATATTGATTTTAAATTTTACAAATTCAATTTTGATAGATTTTATTGAAGATATTAAAATAAAAATGTTATAGTTTTAATATTTAATAATATATTATATAATATTGTCTTATTATGTAATAATATATTGGATAATATTGTCTTATTATAGACTTTAGTCTATAGTCTATACGCAATATTGATTTTTTATTAAAATGATAATATACCTGTTAAGAGGACGCCACACCCGCATGTGTTGTCTCCGTCTTACAAACGCGTAACATAGCAAATTACGTCCACGGAAAACAAACGAATCGGCATCAAAAAGTGGTTTTAGAGTAAAAATACCTATAATAAAACTTAAAGAGAACAATATTTCGGAGGGAACCTCATCGGGGTTTTGTATTAATCTAAATACACAGCTAGATATTGAAGGCACAAAAACTCTTTTTTTTAAATAACCACAACTTTTTTAATAGTTAATATTTTTAAAAACGCCGATGAGGTTCCCTCCAAAATATTGTTCTCTTTAAGTTTTATTATAGGTATTTTTACTCTAAAACCACTTTTTGATGCCGATTCGTTTGTTTTCCGTGGACGTAATTTGCTATGTTACGCGTTTGTAAGACGGAGACAACACATGCGGGTGTAGCGTCCTCTTAATTGAATTAATAATTATACCACAAATATATATTATAATAAACATTTGTTAAATGCAATTCTACTGATGTCAGTGAATATTCGTAATCTGTTTTTATTTACTTTTTTTTTAATCTGTAACTAATATAAATATTTCTAAATAATTTGTAAAATAGGTGTCGTTCAAAAATATAATAATAATCTATCAATATTTTTTTTTTTTGATTATGTTCTAAAAGCTTAAAATTATTTTTTCATTAGTGGTATACAACTATTTTCGTACTTATATTATATTAATATATAAGCCGTTAAAATTAATAAATACAAAAGCACGATAAGGTTTTTGTATACCTATATATTCATTTTAATCTCTAGTCATTAATTTAAAAATATGAGAATTTTAGATGGAACAATGGTTCTTTTTGTTTTCAAACAATATGAGCTCAACAATGACGTTTTCGTCTGAGTAGGCTAATGTACACACTAGAAATAATTATGCACAGAAGATTATTATTCAAAAAAATTATTTGCTCAATATTCTTCTCAATCTTCGTGCTATAAAATATTTAAGATTAGACAATTAACACCTGATTTTTAAAAACTTTTTTTCCAAGTTTAAATTGTATAAATATTAGGAATAAATATTTTCACATAATAAGAATATTTATTTAAATAATTAGTAATTCAAAATTTTTTGTAATAACCTTATTGAAGTTCAATGATGGAGTTTGTAGGTTGTAATTTTTTCACTAGGGAGTTGATTATGAATTATGATTTATGATGAATAATTTATCAAAATATATTAATTTAACATACTTTTTTTTTTAGATAAAAATTCACTTATTCGTTTCATATTAAAAATGTATAACGTTATAACTTATAACGACAACGTTGTTTTATAGAAAAAATACCTCGGTATATAAAATAATTTTATTGATGTGATCGTTTCGATTTATGTTTTTTTATGTTTTACTATTTCATATTCTAGGTGGTCACGTCATAAACACTAACTGTTCAGCCACTCATAGTAGGCAAGTAATATATATGCATGTAATATTATTAATAAATCGCAGTGGGATATCAATAAATAATTGTTTTTAAATTAAAATCTTTTTCTTTACGGCTTTATATAGTATTTGATGCTAGTTTTAATTTGTTTTTTAGACGCGCGCTGTGCTGTAAAATGTCTGTCGAATTGGACGTGTTCCTTGAAACGAAAAAAAAGTTAGTATACAACTATTTAAATCGATCTTGTTTAAGATGTCTTTGGTATGCAGTGTAAAATTTATGAAGTCGTATAATTGTTGTTGTATGTTATATCTAATTTTGCATACCCAAAAAACGACAAATATACATTTAATTTAAAGTTTGTTATGTAGTATACTAATTTACTACTATTATAATACATATTCTGCGTTTATACATTTTTAAACACTTTACGCGTTTAAATTGTCTTGTCATATTAGTGATATTTATGTTGTTTTGAAGTTATACATTTTAAATACACCACCTTTAATAATAGTTGCAACAGAAATACAAAATATGAAATTTAGAGCACGATGCTGCTAAAAGTGTTTCAGGGCCTTTTGCTGTTTGATTAAAAATTCCATTCTACAACTACTATATTATTCGTGTTTTACATAGTTTTATTGTCCTTTACTTCTGTTTATAATATTATATATTTTGTATTATTGATTTAAGGTGGTTTTGTCACGTAGATGATGACAACTATGTTAATGTTCCTGCTTTGGATGAATTATTGAAAATGTATAATCCAATTGGAGATTGGTATTTGGGACGTACTAGCACTCCAAAACCATTACAAATTCGCGCCAAATCCCAAGTAAGTTAACAATAATATAATAATACAATTATTAGTTATATCTTTTCATTTGGTTTAAATAATTGCTTGAAGCATAATGGTACAGTCGTACAGAGTATCTTAAAGTTGATGAAATATTGTTAAAGTTTAAACCTTCCACCGCTAAAAAACTTTTACAATGCCATGGAATTTTCTGTGTGTTATCATTATAATGTTGTCAATATCTAAGGTGACTGGATGAGTTTATGAGAATTTTACTTGAAAAAATCTATTTATAAGAATAATTATCCGTTTTAAGTTGCAAATCTTGATAAATACCTACGTTGTAAAAACATTAAATAAATAAATTATCGCACGATTTGTTTTTGAATTTAATTCGGTTAAAAAACGATTTTTCCTCAATCAATTTTAGTTATTTTGTTTTTATTCAAAAAAATTAAAGATTGAAACATTTAGTAATATTTATATTATTATTTTATAAATATTTGGACTTATTTTAAGCTATTTATACGACAACCGATTTACATCATTAAATTACTGTTAATAGATATTAATCGACAAAATTAAGTTTCACTTTCCAAATTAAGATAACAATAGTTAAAATACTATAAATATTATATCTAATATGATATTAACAATCCTTAGAAACAGATGCTGATTCACCCGTTGCCTTCGTATGGAACTGTTTTTGTATATGTACCACTGCACTACCACACTACCACACTACCACGATTTATCATTAATTTCAAATTTAAATTAAACAATCAGTTTCTAGCAGATCAGCTAGTTCCTATAGGTTTTTGAATATATGTATAAATAATATTCTTTGTATCTATTTCATTTTTATTTATTAATAAAGTTCGTGCTAAAATGTTAATTGTATACTGTCAGTACTTTTTTTTTAAATTTATCTATTATTTTTGTTTTAGAAAACTACATTTTGGTTTGCTACCGGAGGTGCTGGATTTTGTTTGAGCCGTGCATTAGTACTTAAAATGGCACCAATATCTGGGTAAGTTTTTTTAAATAATTTTTTTACATATAAGTACCCCTAATTTTATATTATATAAGTTATAAGAACTTCAAGTGTTTATTTTTGAGTGAAATACAAAAATTTTATCAAATTTTACCTAAAAAAATAAATCATAGACAAATTTATAAGATTTTGTAAGATAATATTTTAAATTTTAACGCTAGGTGTACTCAAAATATATAGTGTACAATTTTAAAAGATAAGTGGAGTTCTGTCTGGTAGGTACTCTGGTTTTTTAATTTTAATTCAATTAAAAAATGGATGCGTGTTTAGATATGTTCATTGTTCACGTTGAATTGAAAAACCAATTCAAAACTTTGAACCCTAGTTTAAAAAAACAACATTTACGATATTATATATGTACGATCGTATGTATAGTGTATACAATACAATATTTCGACACATATACAATTTACATAGTTCTTGTTAATTTTTGTAAGTAACTTTTATATTAATATTATAATTTAATATTTTTATTTTTATGTCTTATAATATGTATGTATATTAATGTTTGAACTAGAATAATGGTTTTATATTTATGGTCGTACGGTGTCAAAGAAAACGTTCCCATGAATGCCACGAAATTTGAATTTTTATGTACATTTAATCTAAATTAGATGAATATTTGATTGTGGCGGTGAGGCTAAGAGGGAACGTCCCTATAAATTTATTGCTCTTTCAAATTAAACTAAGTAAACCAAAACCGTAAAATATTGTATTAGTGTACCTGTTGGTAACCACTGTCTAGACATTCTTAGGTAAATTGATACTGATCTAATTCTTTAACATTTTTATTTATATGTATGTTATTGTGTATATATATTCGTATATTTTTGTTTTATTTTTTAATCGTTGGAACTCGGAGAACCAATAAATGATTTTATCTCGTAAAAAATCTAATGCTTATTAAAATACATTATACCTACCTATACTCGTTTCATTGATATTAAACGTGTGAACTGTTGTGGAGATATTTTTACTGTTCAAATTAATTTTGATATATATTCAATACAATATCAGGTTTTTAACTGGTTATTTAAGGTGAATAACATTTTAATACAACTATGATGATTTTTCGATTTATATTTTTGTCATTTTTAGGTAGGTTTTGTCGCTTTTTATATAAAAGTTGACCGATAAAAAATTCAGTTTTAATTGCTGGGATAAAACGAATTCAGTTCTTTCCAATTTAATGACATGCAGTCTCCATGAGTCAAAAGTATTCTCGTAACCCGTTTTTTAAATTGAATAATAAATTGGGAGTTCCAATGCAGCTGCCAGTTGACGCCCCTTGTCCCCTCTGTTTTCCTTCATTCCTTGTCGTTAATCAAGTTGCTGAATTGACGAGTTAACCGGTTTATCACGTCAAGGCTCTCCGAAAAGGAGTTGTCCTGTGATGTGTTTTTCGCACTAATAAGCTCAAATTCCAATGGTAACAAACTATTTTTTAACTTTATCATTCGTTAAATTAAAAAAATAAATAAAAAAAATGAAAGGAAAATTTCCCGCCATTGTTAAAAGAACCAAAATGGGTTTCGATTGGTGTTTGTCGGGGAATGTAAAGCGATTGTCTAATTGGCAGATTTTAATTGGCTAAAATTCTTTATGGAAGAAAAATACCTAGTTGGAATCGATCCAAATGCGAAGGTAATACGATGAAAAAAATGTAGTTCCAATAAATAAGATATTATGTTGCCAACAAAATGTTGATACTGGTGATTTGTTGTAAGTATTATTATTGGACGCTGAACTTAAAACTTAATAGGTATCTAAATTCAAATAGGTAACTTATTGGTCATTTATTATATTAGTAAAACGTATCAGCAACAAATCGCTACTTTATAGGAGTAGGATTATTATTTTGAAGACAAGTAATGAAAAGCAAACATTGTAAACATTAGAATAATATGTTGCTAGCTGTATATGCCTATATTGTCCTAATTTAGAAGAATGCAATTAAATATCACATTTAATTCATGTTTAAAATTGTTCAAACTCAATATTATACTCAATAATTTACTGTAATTTAATACACGCAGAAACATCACGGGGCACAATTTATTGTTCCTATACCTAAGTGAAATTATGATATATGAAATACTATTTAATAGTAGTTGGTACAAAATATAAAACTAATTTTTTGATAATAAAACATTAATCAATACATTTATAAGACAAAGGTTATCGCTATGTGCGTATGCTTAGAAATACCAATATTATTTTTATAAAAAGTTTTAATATTGGCATTCGGTAATTAATGTTGTGATGGACGAGCGACCCATAACGGGTGTTCTACATAATACACAGACATACAGTATACAATATACATATTACATTGTATAGAAACTTGTAAATGGTATTATTATTTATTACTTTAGATACGAAGAAGGATTATACTGTTTAAATGTTTATATTTCGTTCAATTTAAATGTACTAAGGGGTACATCATGGTTCATTAATAAAATAAAAATATTGTTTTAAAAACGCTATTCAATACTTTTTATTATGACGTGCTCTTTGTTGGACATCGATTTATTTAGCTTGGAAAGGAATTTTCAATCGAGGACCATACATTTTCCAAGACTTACACTCCCTAATTAATAATTATGTTGCGTGTATCGGAAGTTTGGTATTTAATTCACCTCAGATAATAGTCAAAAGTTTTAAAACTTGCCGTTCATAGCCATAACTTGTGTACGACGTTCAAGGCGTTACACTTAAAAGATAAATTGATTGGGCACAACAACTTTATAATTAAGTCAGGATTAATAATAAATAATTTTAAATTGATATTTGTGTGTATAATTTAAAGACTAAAGTATAAAAACTCGCTATCGTTTTTTTATTGCTATTATAATTTTATTTAATTATATTTATTCAAATATTCGTTCGCATATTGTGCAATTTTAACTTCATTATTTTTGTTATCAAAAAATTAGTTTTTAAATTAATATAAATTTTAAAATAGTATTTAGAATTATGGTTTTCAATTTAATTAAAATATATTTCCTTTCGAAATATGCACATAGTTAATAAGACTGTTGTCATGTTTTATTGACTTAATATTTTTGTAGAATTTAAAAAGGTAGTTACTAACTTTCCTTTATTCATTGATATCTTTCAATGAATTATAAAAAAATGAAATGTATAGCAGTTAATACATAAAAGATTTTAAAAACGTTGTGACTTTTAGGAAATGCAAGGATTAAAATAATATAAATAGGTACTATTTTTATTTTATATTAAATACACAAAAATATTTAGGTTCTTGACTTCTAAAACTAGGTACCTAATTTTATAGTAACTTGTATATTATATTACGATTTAAAACAACTTTTACTTAATGGAATTTATTGTTCACTGAAAGTATACTTTAACTAAAACAGCTTCAAGTGTAAATCGATGTACGTCCCATTAATTAACTGCAGTAACATAAAAAACGGACCACCCATCAATAATGGTTATTTTTTTAAAATACATATAATAGTATTCGACGGTGTAAGTATAACGTACCACTGTAAAAGTAGTCGTGTATATTTTATTACGAGCTATAGGTATAATTTCAAGTGTCTTATATTTAAAATTATGTCGGTTTTATTATGTTAACGAGTAAAATGTGATTTCAATAAATAACAATTATCCAGACGAGGTTTGAGGTTTGAGTTTTTATTAATACGAGTATAGGTACTTTATGAGAAATAAATTTACCAATATGATCATATGGCTCGGTAAAATATTTATTTTTTAACATTTGGAACAGATGACGTGTGAATGATCGTTTATTAGATGATTTTATTTTTTCACAAGCCATGTGTCACACATAAAGTAGTTAACTTGTCAACCATCCAGAAAATATACATATATGAACATGTTTAGAATAACAATACTTAATAGTTTCCTGGATGAATAAATTTAAATCCTGGCTCTGGCTATACGTTGTTCACTATTATGCTGACAGAATCATAAAATTCAATTTTTGTTTTTGTCTTTAAATGAATTGGTTTTAATTAAATTTTCTGATTTTTTTGATTTTTATTTATCACAGGAATGGGAAACTTATGGCAATTGGGGATCGTATAGGTCTTCCAGATGATGTCAGCGTCGGATACGTTATAGGTATAATATGAGAATCTTGCAATGGTTATTCAGGTTTTCTTGAATCTTAAATCACTTCTAAAATAATCAATGATGTTTTATATTTTGCAGAGCATTTGTTAAAAATACAACTAACTAGAGTGGAACAATTTCACTCACACTTGGAGCCAATGAGACTTATAAAAAAAGACCTATTCAACGAACAAGTAATTAAAAATACCTACATGTACTTAGATAATAACATTAATGTTAATTATTTTCTGTTTTTGACGATATAGCTGACATTTAGTTATTCCTTGGACAACGAGCCAAACACTGTGGACGTGGATGGGTTCAACGAAATCACCGATCCTACCAGGTCAGTTTTGTTCACTATAATTCAGATGTTCGTATTGGCGTATTGCGATATAAATATATTTATTATATTATTTTTATTTTCAGATTTCTTTCACTTCATTGTTTTTTGTTTCCTGAAGCTTCGAGCTGTGTCGAAAAATGAAAAATACACCGTTAATCGTTACATTGTTCCAGAGACATAGTGAGAGTTAATAAAATCAAATTTAGAGTCGTTTAGTAACATTTTGCTCGGTATTTTTAAGTTTTTGTCTTGTTTGGCCTAACGTTTTATTAATCTGAAATACGAAAACCATTAATCATAAGGTCTTCAGAATGTGCATGTCATGGTTGGTCAGAAGGTGGGAAACCGTCATAATAGTAGCGGCTAATATTCGTGTGCTTACAGTTGGATACTCATTTCCCATAATGTGCCCGAATGACAGGACTGATAAAATTCCCTCATTACTATATCGTTTGTTACAATAACGACATCAACAAAAAATATTTTCGATTAATCTTAAGTTTATGATTGCCTAAATCTACTTTATTATAAATACGGTGCATTAAAGGATTTCTTTAATTTTAGTTTTTCTCTCTCGAAACCAGCATTGTATTTCGGGTGTTAATATCATGACACTATTATCATATTTGATTATTCGAATGTTATTTCTTAAATATTTTCGGTGATTTCTTGCATAAATACTCAAAGTGTATGAATAGTATTCATAGAAGACATTATAACAATAAATCGGTAAAAAGTGTGTATACAAGCATAAACAATAAAATATTTTTAATCATTAGTTTATGTTCAAACCGATCATCGCTCAATGTGTTACGAGTAATAGTCATTGTTTTAGTCGTGGTATAAACGTTCTAAAAAGCAAAGGGCGCACAACATCGGTTCATATAATTGCTTAAATTCGTCTATTGTTGTTGTTTGTTCATATTAAACGCATTAATTTCGATTTTTTTTTAATGCAAGGAAACAGACAAGGTCATTACCTATACACATAGTTATTAATAATATGTCTACCATAGATACCGATCGTCTGTAAAACGGGCACATATATGTCATCTATTCATTGAACGAACTAATCACCTGTACCTATTGTGTATTTGTGTGCGAGACTCATTTTATTGATGGGACAAATATTAACTTCGAAACGTTCGAATAATACCGTAAATAAACCAGAAAGACAACTTGAATGTGAAGTCTATTTATAGTTTGCTTGACTCCGTTGACTGATATTGTCTTCGAAAGTGGGTGGATTACCGACGGTAATATGACGATGTGTCACCCCGTTGACAAAGTTATACAATTTTTTATTATCATCATAATAATAGCTAATGCTTACACACCGTTTCAAAGGTTTCCCGCTGTTCATCGACCCCCTTTGCATATTAACGGAACATTTCTCAGCTGTAGTAGTCACTTATATACTATATTATTACGTGTAAATATATAATAAGTGTAATGTATGTAAATACCTCACGTACGTGTCACCGGACGGCGCCTTATTGACATGCACGTTATTTCTATTTAGTTTTTTCGTCTGTGATATTTAATTTTAAGTCATTATTTTATGTACAAATATAATTTATTACTATCATTACCTACAATGTGATTTGTTTGTTATTTAATCAAAACACTTGTATAATACGGAATTACAGCTATATTTGTGCCTTTTATTGTGTATTTTAAGCAGTTAAAATGTTATTTTATTTTTCGTTAATTTAAATAAATTGTTCATTTTTTATACTATTATAGTGTCTACCGCTGATGTATTTTTAATGACAGTAAAGGTTTTTATCAACACTTATTAATTTTATTTTTTTGTGGTATTATTATGTGTAACAATGAAGCTCATTATAGTCGAGTTCCATTATCTGATATTTTTAGCAGATTATATTCTATATAAAAATAAATATTATTATTATAGCAGTATAATACGCGTACCTAAATTATTTGTTATCATTTTAGATTAACATACTTCAACATCGAACGGTGAAAAAAAAAAGAAAACTTTATCAATAATCCATCAAGATATTTTATCATTGGATTCAAAGGCTAAAACGTTTTTTTTTTTCGTGTTCCCAAAGCCAGGCGCACAAAGGAAGGGAGAAAAATGTATCAAATCTGTATTCACTATTCATCACTGCGTGAACCGCATCACAGCCGTCGTGTACAATAATATAATATATATGTCGACGGAAGTAAAACTAACGTTTTATGCGTTTAAGTGGTTTACTCCGAGATGAGGTTTGGAGGAGAGTGAGGGAACGAGGGAAAAAGGAAATGAAACACATTTTTTTCTCTCAAACTCCGACGACGTCTCTCGCGATAAACGCTGTCATATGCGCGTGTCACGTACAAACTTTGCTTGGGTTTTTATGTACCCTCGGGGCATCAATTGCCTTAGAAAACTAGCCCTTATATTATGCCCATGACAATATATATATATATTGATATTATGGCTTTTTCTCGGCGGCAGTAATAAAGTATTATATTTTTATGTATCGCATCACGCTCTGGCAAAAGTGAAATTTTTCGATCTCGCTGGTGTACAATGTACATGTACCAATAACATGGAGTGCTGGTATCCTTAAATATAGGTATATATTTTTTTTTTTAATTTTGAGTTGGAATTTTTATAAATATTGGAAAGCTATGTAATATTTTCAAATACGTTTATTACATAATATATACCAAATTCCATACTATTTGTTTTACTATTGAAAGGGTGGTTTGTGGCGGTGTAGACTTCTTTTTTCAAATAAAAACCAAATAGAACTTCCTACCTTTTCATCTGCAAATCGATAAGTGGGTGATTTTATAATGTATATAATAATATGTACCTTAATCGAAATTCGAACAGGAATTTTCCTAGTTATTAATTTTTAACTACCAACTAATGAAGAAGATACTTTATTATTACCTAATGGTATTACATATAATATAAAATAGATGTAATATTTAGTCTAGTACCTAGGTACTTATCATACTCAAGACCATTTTTACAAATTATAAAATGTTAGTAAATTAATATTACATAATTGATATAATTTTAAATCATCGATACCTATATCTGCTAAACCTATTATCATGGATTTGTATCCTTAGTTAATCCTAAGAACTGGGATGAGTTATTAACTTAGAGAGTTAGAAAGTTAGAACTAGTAGTAAGAACTCCGGTATATTTTCTGAGTTTTTTTATATTTTCAAAAGTCATCTTTTAAAAATACCACATGTTTACCCATTATATTATTTAACAAAAGGATGTTTACCCGTTGATTTATAAATAACTATTCTACAGTAAAAAGGCTGGTTTTCATTTGAAAAATAACTTTCAATTCGTCACAGGACTACACTTCTTAAATGGTAAGATATAAGAATTTTAATAAATTCATTGAAGAGGGGAAAAATGGTGGTGAACATGCTTGGTAATTCACCCTGTATATATATTATATACTATATAACATTTTATTTTTATTTCATTTCATTTTTCTTTACCACGTCCTCTTTGCCTATGTAGGTCTATATATGTATCGCACACATATTATATCGATCTTCATTTATGAGTGCACTGTCCGTGTATATATATTGTATAAATAAATATATATTATTATAGCCATGTCTGTGTGTGCCTGGATATCATAAAAAGGCCCACCCGACCCTGTTACCACGTTTGGTGAAGACGCCAAAGATTTGGACACTTTTAAATTCAATGTTATCAAATAATAATCATAACAAAATAGCTAAAACTAATAACAAATATAACACCTAATAATAATAATATAATATTAATAATAATAATAATAATAATAGTAGTGTAGCAGAGACTAGAGAGACATTTAACATCGACATTTCATATGAGAAATTTAATTTACAGAATAAATGAGAGTAGTATACCCACCTATATTTCGCAATTAATGCATAATATCTATATGCGTAAATGTTACCGTAAATTGTAAACATATGGGAAGTACTTGTAATAAAATATAATTGGGAAGTCAATTAAGTATAAAAAACGACGATACAGGAAATTAGGAAATTGTACATTCTTTCAGTTTTGCCTGCCATCCACTATGACTGCCGGATACGACATGGTTTGAATGTATGTTGAGTCAAGTTAAAATACCTATGTAACAAGTTTTTCCAGCAATTGAAAAAAAAAAAAAAAATTCTAGAATATAGAAAATTATGGAAACAAGACAACGCATCACAAACACAAAACCCGGGGGCAATAATTAGTTGTAACTTGTAAGTACCTATATATATTATAAAAAATACTAATAATCTACATGTATTAATATATTATAGTCTATAATATAGATACTTCGTTGCCCCGTTGCGAGAAACGATCGGGATGGAAGAGAACGTTATTTATTATTTTTGTATCTTACTATATTAAAGTATCTATGGTGTGGGAAATAGTAAGTTGTTAACAGACGTGGTTACCTAAAACGTCGGTTGATTAGCGTCGTCTGTGTCGTCTGTGTTTAGTCCGCTTTTGGCGAACATATTCTAACGATATCATTAAGCGAGCATAAAGACATCCTACAGAGTTTATATGTGAGACTTTCATCCGATTGTCATTCCACGTACCTACCTTACCGCCGACCGCAATATTGTCTACTCCTATCAATTGTAATTGTCGACTATGTAGTAGGTACCTCCATATAGTTTGAATGCACCTCTATAAGGATCATCATTATAACATAGACAATATATTAGTTTCGTGCGTTTAATATTTTAATGATATTGTCCATATACAATACGGTGACACAGTGTAACTCGTATTCCTCGTATGTATAGGTATTGCGATAATTTTTAAACGATCATTCTGAACTTGAATATAGTAAATAGGTATAATGTAGGTACCTAAAAAAATACTGTTAAAAAAAAAAACCGAGACCAATTCGAATTCACTGCTAGTTTATATACTAGCCTGATCCATAGGCAATAGGCATACTTTAAAATAATGACAAAATCAAATTAATTTTAATTTAAGAATAAGGAATAACTTTACTTATTTCAAAACTAGCAGGATATATACAAGTGCATATGCACGAGGGATATAATATATTCATTCCATATTTCGATCTATATATTTCATAATTCAAAAAATGTAGGTTAAGTTAGAAAAAATAAAAATACATTTC